CCTTAACGAAATCATGTTGGGGTCGAAGGGCCTCGAAGACTGCTTGCTCGTCCGCCTCCTTTGTGCGCAGGCCGTATTTCACACCCAATCGGGTCAGTGCCACAGCTTTGGCTGTGGTTTTCAGAAGGTGCAGAGCCTGCTTGGCTGAAACTCCGGGAAGCCAGACAACTGCCCAAGAGCCGTGAGGACCAGAGCCATCAGCAGTTCGCGGCTCAATGTAAAGCCCACTGAAAGATACCCGAAACAGATGCGGGAGAGCCGAAGAGGGAACCCGAACAAAAGCCTGGAAGAGCTCAGCCTCAGCTGCCTTTGTTTTGCCTCCAGACAGCTTGCACCACTGGCGGGCCCAGACATCAAGGAACAAGTGATCCACGACCTCGTCTACCGCCGCATGGAAAGCCGGACATGTTTGGTCACATGAGGGCTGTTTGCACACCTGGAATTCCGGCACCGACTGAAGAAGAACCCGAATGGGGGCCGTGGCTACCTGATCCCAGGGAACTTTGCATTCGTCCCTGTACAAGCTGAATCTGCAGACTACCGTGGCAAGGTGCTCAACTTCCGCAATGTCAGTTGCTGCCAGTTGCACCTCCTCATCCCCAAGTTGGATCAGGGTTCCCTGCACCAGTATGGCCTCCTGTGTGGGAGTGAAAATGGCAGGGAAACGGAGCGAGGAAGTTCGGGCAACTCCTGTGGAGTCCGGGGCCAGCTCGGCTGTCGTGACAAGGGCCAAGGCATCAACACTCAGGTTGTGTGTTTCCGACAAGAAAGGCATGGCCTGGGCCGTGGTGACGAAGCAAACTCCCGTCGCCTGAGACGCGACCTCCTGATAGGAAAGCTGCCCCAGTGGGGCCCCTGACTTGGAAGCGAAACTGCCTGGCGCAAGTTGGAGCTGCTGTGGATCAACATGCAATGGTGCTGGGAAGTGGCGCTTTCCAGTCTTTTGCTTCTTCGTTTTGGCCCGGGGGACCTCAGTTCCAAATCGCTCCTGTGCCCGCTGCTCCACGTGGCTTTTGAGCTCTTCAGCTTGCACCCATTTAAAGGAGATTCCCGGTTTAGAACCCGCTGCCTTCAGGACCTGCCATGGGTTCTTGCAAGATAACGCCTCGGCGAGGGGGCCCGGTCCAATCTTAGACACTGCCTGCTGAACCCGAGCAGCAACAGCCGCCTGTGGCACTCCCTTTGAAACAAGCAATGCTTGAAGGCTCTGCTCTTGCTCAGCTGATAAGCCGCCATTGCCGGTAAAATTGAAAAACAGCGAAGGAAAGGTTGCCAGGAAACCGCCAGCCTGTGCAAGCTGATCAGGGTGCGATCGGCCCGTCATCCGGTAGGCCGCATGCGCCAAAGCAATGGCAGGAGCTAGCTCGGCCCTTTTGTTTTGCAACAGTTCACCTGCTGTGATGGGACCTGAGACCTGTACCTGCTCCAGCCCACTGGCAGTTTGCACTGTGATTGTGCCGCCTCTAGCAACACCTGGCGTGATTCAGGAATCCTGTCGAACATTCAAGAGCTGAGCTTTATAAGCCTCAAGTGCCTGGTAAGGGCTGCCTGGAGGGCCAGAGAAGATGGCCGCCGCCCAATCCCAAATGTGAGCATGGACCCAGATGGCTTGCAAGGGCGAGGTCAACTGACCAACTAGGGCTAGTGCTGCCCTGGGGTCCTGCGGCAAAGAATGGCTGGGTAGGAGACCATTCAACAGGCTGGCCTCCTGAGGATGCAGGTGGCGCATCGCCTCGAAATGTGCACACGGGACACCTATGCCTTGGAGACCTATCTGCTTCAGGGTGTCAACCGAGAAGGGCTGCTGGCGGCAGCCACATGGGCAGCTTCGGAAAACATTGCCCCACGAATGCAGGGCGGTTGGGCACTGCTGGTTCGCTGCCAAGGTACGGTCGGGGGATCCCACGGACGGGTCACTAAATGCAGAAACCTCAATTTCGTACCACTTGAGTGCTTCCTCGACCTCAGCCGGCCACAAGGGCCATTCAGGGATGGCGTCTTGCACAAGAAGGGCTGGATCCGCCTCTGGCCAGACCGGAAGATCCAAAGCTGGCAGCTGTGCCGGGAGAAGGAGTGCCCCGACTGCGACAGGCTGACCATTGGTGGGACAAGTCCAGGACCACCTGTACTAGTTGGAAGCCGGCCCTGACAGCAAACTCACGGAGTAAGTCCATGCAGCCCTTATCCTGTAGGATGGCAGGCGTACACTCAAGGAGCAGGCCGCTGGACTGTTGGTGCCAGGCTGCTTGCAGAACGGGACACAGCAAGGGGCAACCCTGAACCGAAAACCCGGAACCCAAAGGTCTGGCATTGCCTTGGTACGGCAAACTGGCTCCTATCAGGCACCTCAGTTGAGGTTGCACGGAATGCAATGCTCGGCGCACCTGAGGATCTCTCACGTCTCCCTCCAAAACCATAGCATGACGCTTGCGCAATGCTTCGCAGGCTAGCGGGCTGTTGTCCAAGACAGCCACGCAGGTGCCTCCAAGGTCAGTACAACCCTCAGTCATCCCACCAATGCCTGCACAAACCTCAACAAAGTTTCGGTACGACTCGCCATCCAAAGGGGGCCTTTGCAGAGCCAGAGCCTCAGAAGGGAGCTGCACGAAGTGATATCCACCATATGTGCCCTGGTATTGCACCCCATACAGCGTCCAAACCGTGCCTATTTCAAACGGCCGCGTACAGCGGCAAATCTCCGAATGCCACAGCGTTCGAAAAGTTGACCCACTCAAGCTCTGAGAGACAACCTGAACCACAATGTCCAGTCTGTCGCCGGCAGTCAAAGAGGACAGGAGGGGGTCTCCGATCATGGCTAGGGCAATTCTCTCGAGGTTCCGCTGTCTCAGCTCTACTCCTGGAAAGACTCGAGCCCAGAGCTAGCGCTACAGAACATAATCGCAGTCAGTGCGTGCTACTGGCTTCGGGGTTGAGGCTGCTATCCGGAGCTGGCTCACTGCTCCGTGTGTTGCCCGAAGAAAGCTTGGTGATTTGCCGCGGGTGTATAAGTGATGGACGTCCTTACCCACCGTGGGGATGACACTGTCGTCTTTGGTTTCAATCGCTCCGGGTATGCAAGACTGAGGATGAAATCCGAAACAGCACGTCCCCATACCTCCCTCGTCTGCAAGCAGCATGTGCACATCATCAAAGACTCACGCAACACGGAATGCGACGGAACCGTTGTAGGAGATGTAACCGGCAAGACACCTGAACATAGGTTTTCAGGCTCCGATTCCAATCATGGCTCGAGCTTGTTTCCAACTTGTAGCTTGACCGAATGTTGTCAAGCGGGTACGCATATGTTTGCGGAAGTCTCAGCACCCAATACACCCGAGGTCAGCTTCTAGCTTAGTGCAGACAATGTCGCTCTTGGCTTTCTGAGGGCTCAAGGCGCAGGTTGAGCTGCAAATCTAAATCATGATCAATCTGCACCGAATCCCCAGAAGCAGATTAAGGCTATTGGTTTCGAGCGATCGAAGGTGCATCTCCGAACGAAAAATTCCGAAGACGGTCCCGAACAGAACTGTCCAAATACACGCTCACTAAAGACGTGCGACGGTAGAGCGCCAGGCATAATATAGCAACACCAGCTTGCTTGTACACCCTGCATCAATACAGTGGGCTTTATTTACCGGAAGCCGTGACTCCCTCTTTAGTTTCGCAACGGACGTTGCAGATTCAGCAACTATCGGTTTCGAACCGTTAGGTGAAGGACAAGTTACCTACGAAGATTTCATCGACGGCATTCTACGTTGCAAGGGCCCTGCACGTGCAATTGATCAGACACTTGGCTGAACCATCCGGGACGTTCGAAGGAGAGCTACGCTCATCGACAGCTGTGCCTGGATTTTTTCAACGCTCGCCCGCAGTACCTCAGGATATGCTTGCAATGCGACGTGAAGTTGCTATCTGACGCTGTGTTGTACCCCGGCATTTCGCCGCCATTCTATTGCCGTCATTGTTGTTGTGCATCAGACGGGTTGCCAGGCACTTGACGAAAGCCTTGGAGGACTCGAAGATGATAAAGAAGCAGCGAAACCATGGCAAACACCGAAGAAGCAAGCACCGCGTGGAGGATGCCCGGTTGCACTATTGGGCCGAAGGTGGGGCAGTTTTGAGCTGCTCACGTCTGCAAGTGTGGAATTGGTCTGAGGACGAAGTTGTGCTCCTTGGATTCAGTTGAGGATGCTCGGAATAGGGATTTGGACAGACTTCTTCGACAGGATCGCCAAACATGCTGGTCGTAAACCAGCGACATGACATAATGCAAGTTATGAGGCTTCTGTCCGATCAAGCAGGGGCTTGCAAATCCGCAGTGGGCATACCTGGCTTCTCTGCCTTGTGTGTGCGTGAAGGCTTCTTCGGGCCGCCACCAGGGTGATGTGATGTTGACTTCCTGATGCCACCAGCGATCGTTGCTTGGACATGCGAGTATGAAAGCGAACTATGCAAAAAGCTAAAGCAGTATGAACACAACCTTGTGGCCAAAGGCATCGGGGGTCTACCAATGCTGGATTGCCCCCCCGTTGTCAATATGTGTTTAACTGGCCTCCCCGTGAGTTTGGGCAGCTTTGCCAAGAAGGGTGTCAGAACCCAAGCTCCACCCAAGCAAAAGCGGAATTTGGTCAATTTCTGCGGAGATCATGTGTTGGCAACAGTTCGGGATTTGAGGGAAAGGATGGTTTGTTGTTTACTGATCTTGAGCCCACACAGTTCTGGCACCATCGCCACGTCGCCCATACTTATCTTCATGCGAGCTCTGGAGAATCCAGGCTCGAATGCGTGACTGCACAGCAGCGTTGACTAGCTTTGCTTTCCCGGTGCACGCGGGACAAAGTCTTGGGTTGCAATGCCGGGTACCTTCGACGGCGACGGAAGGCTTTTTCCATGAGAGTGGCTCCTTCCTGCCGATTGGTGACAAAACCATGCAAGCTTGAGTGGCTCGCACATGGCCTTTGTTGCGGCCGAAGTGTTTGCGCAAGTCCTGCTTGTTCCAGGCTGTCCCGACAGCGGCGCCCGAGGCACCGACCGAAACCACCAGAAGCGGACACGTTGACACAGCTTCGCCTCAAGGCGCGATGCGGTAAAGCTGTGCAGCCGAGAAGGGGGCAGATCACCACGTCGCCAGGCGTGGAGCCGACGACACCGCGAGACGGGGTTCAAGCGGAAGCCAAAACCGTGGATCTGCCGAGTCCTGGCTGCGACTGCATCGTCTCGCAGTCAGCTGCTTCTGGGCTGCTTGTCGACTAAGGAGTCCGCGGCAGGAGCAGGAGGCGTGGCATTGTTTGCAGGTCTAAGATCAGCCCAGCTGGATGGCTGAAGGAGCCGTGCTCAGAGCCGGAGGAGTCGGAGGAGTCGGAGGAGTCGGAGGGAGCCGACAAGGCATGAAGAGAGCGAAGGCACTCCATGCGGGCAGCACCTGTCCGCTCCAGGATGCGTCGGCTTCTCCCGTTTCGCAGAGGGAGGTTCTGGAGGTCGCATGCGCTCCAGATGTTTTTCCGTTTTCTGCTTCTAAGAAGGACTTGAATGCTCTGGATGCCGAGGCGCCGATTTGGGAGGGCTAGTGGCCAGAGACACGTTTTGGAACCTGCAAGTCCCAAGTCTCAGGCAGTCGTCAAGGCCATTCCCGTGGAAAGCGTTTCTAGGCAAGCTGAGCTTCTTGGCAGCCTTGGGCGGAGAAAGTACAAGTGGGACACATTGGGGAACGCACTAAGGCACGCATTGGACGGAGCACAGATGTGCATGAAAGTGGCACGGCTGGCTTCTGAGGCTGGTCGTGGGTTGTGAAAAACAGTATCGCAAACTTGGTGACTAAAGCAGGCCACGGGAACTTGCCGCTCTTGGTCACAGCTTTTACGGCCACTGGACGGCACTCATTTCTGTCGTCCATGTGAGTGTGGCAGTAGGGTCGCAGCCGTACAGTGGTTTCAGGTGTGGCACGCATCTGTTGGACAGTGACTTTCTGGCACTAGAACCTGTGGAGATGCATTCCATGCAAGCTTATGCACTTGCAGGCACCCATTGTGTCACGCAGGCATCCCAGAGTGTGTCAAGGCCGGGCTTCTCGTATGCCTTTTCGTGCTGAAAGCACGATGAGACCAGGTGTGCGGTCGGTGTCCCATCGGATCTGATCCCGCTACTGGAAAAGATCAAGACGGCGGAGGGCATGACCAGGCAGGTAGGCAGGTGCACTCCAGCGAATTCTTCGGTTCCTTGCTGCTTTGGTGGCATCGCTGCAGGCAGGCAGTTAGCGCCACGCGGGATTTGATGCAGTGCACGGAGATAATCTCAGAGAAAGGCCTGGCCTATGGTGACCTCAGTGAATACAGAGAGCCTGTGCTGCCTGCTCTGGCAAGTACCTGTCTACAGTTGTTGTTGTCACCGTTCGCCCGGGTGGGGTTTGGCCAAAGCCTAATAACGTCCATGGTCGATTGCGATTTGGGAAGGGCCGCTCGAAACAATGGCATCTATGCCAATCGCCGCTCCGAGAGGTCGTGCAATTCAATTGATGCATGTGGCTGGCACTGCAAACAATCGCTGCAAGACGAAAGACAGTGGGCAAAGAACGGAATCAACCGCCCCCCCCCCGCCCCGCCACCGCCCCACCCCCCAAGCTAGAAACCCTCGACAATACCGGGCAAAAAGTTGACAAACAAAACAAAGCACCAGTCATAAGGTTTTGGCCGTGGGTGCTTCCGGCTTCCCGTGTTTCCGCAAAGTCTTCGACTCGACACTTCAGGTTTGAGGGCCACGGAGCTTTCCAACAGGCGAGGCAGTAGCGCCGTGTTCACACTCGGCCTCGAGTGGTGCCGCGTAGCCGGGCCGAGGTTGTTGCAGCAATCCAAGGAGTTGGCCAGCACGCTGCAGTCGGCGGGAGCTCTCGGAACTCTATACGGACTCCTGAGCTGTAAAGTCTGCTGTCCTCGTGTAATATCTGCACTGCACCAGCTCGCAGCCTGGCTCCTGGCTCAAGTTCAGTAGGTGGTGAGACCAGCTGCACAGTCGTGTCAGTGTGAGGCAACTCTGCTGCATTTTCTGCGGATTCGCCTAGCCCCGCCCGGTTTGCACTCTGTTCATAGAAGGAGTCAGAAGGAGCTTTGCAGGCAAGTCGAACGTTCGTGTGGATTACTTTTGGCCTTCGCCTGAAGCGAAGGTTGGTGCCTTCTCTCATGGCAGAGGTTGAGAAGGACAGTCCCATATGGGACTTGGGCAGCCACCACATCATATGTCCTATTGAAATGCTAGACATCAGAGACGGGTGCCGATGATGGCATGACCTGGCTGGGACACATCAAGCATCACACAGAATGCCGAATACAGTCGTGTAGCCGTGCGGATGTGCATCGCCGCAGACTTTCCGAAGCATGGGCAAACCTGTTGAAGGCGGACCTCATTACGCCGGATGTGTCCACCTCTCATGTTCGACCTGAAGTGCCAGGCAGAGTCCGAGTCCTTCGTGCCAAGCGAGAATCATTCTCGATTCTGACTATAGGTAGACCACCGCCTCATCATTTGCTAACTTTCGTCTCGTCCGTCCCAGCACCCATTTGCATGCGCAACAGTGCCGCCTGTACCTTTACAGGCAGCGAAAGAGATGACGTGAACAAGCTGGATGATGTGGCTCGGTATGCATTTGGCAAAGTCAGAAAGTTAGCAGAACCCTTGCGCATTTCGGGTAATAATACCACCAGTCAACCCATTAGACGATTATGCCTACACTCCTCCCTACACCTCACCAACTATATCATCACTACTACCCCATTGCCAATACCAGTGTAGGAATAACCGATTACCTCATCCATATAAGAGGATTATTCCTGTACCCTTACATCTCAACAACTATATCAAGAACAGTATAGCAATAACCAATTACCCCATCCATATTCCCTGAGGTGGTATTAGGTTCTCTCGCAGAATTTTCTAGGTTTAGGGATAAAGGTTGTAGTTATGAGAGTTGTGCATGTCTTGCCCAAGAACAAGCACCAACAGTTTCTTTCCATAGCATCATCATGAAGAGCATCACCAGAGGGATGGAATAGTGAACAGTCCAGTCGACAAATCGGCATGATGCACCTCGTGGTCCAATCAGGCGATATCGGCTTACATGTAGGATAGAGATGGAGGGATGGAGAGGCAGTTAGGCAGATAGACGGAAGCAAGATCCCGGCCTTGCCTTGCCAAGGTTATGGAAGACGGTAGTCAACAAGCGATTCGAAGCCGCACTGCAATGCTGCCAGCTCCGTCTGAGGAGGAGGACGTGACAGGCCGGACACCTTCGCCTGCATATGATTGGGCTTGTCGGTTTCACCGGTTTCTGTTGCAGCTTTGGGAACCATTCGGCTTTTGTGCGATGAGGTAGCAGCAGCCTCAAGCCATCCAGAACGGCCATGTTAGTGGCACCCTATGATGCCCCGGGCTCAGATTCAATGACGTAATCTCACCATGAGAGGCCTGCACCCGTTCCCAACGAACCCCCTTGAAGTTTTTGTGAATTCTGAGCTGAGGACAAGGAAGTAGAACACGCGGTGCGCTCGCGGACGGCCATGCTGCCAGGCCAGGTGGGCTGAAAAGAACTCATTGAGACAGGATGCCTCGTCGCTCGTTGTGCCACTACCTCACTACCGCTCAGCACACTGCAGGAGTGGAGGATGACAACGACGAGGCTGCTTCCGAAATGACGTTGCGAGCATTGTGCAATCAATTAGCCTGCCGGGGTCGTGTAATTTCCGGTTTTGTCACGTCCTCACCATTCGACATGATGACTGCCGCAGCACAGTGGTGCCGTGAGCTGAGGCTGAACATGCCCTGCGCTCCCGCACGGCGATGTGGCCTGTTGACCCTAAAGAGGAAGAAGGCTCAGCCGTGACCCTGCTGCCCCGTGTAGCATGGTCCCTGGTTCTGTACACCAGCTCCGTTGCTCTAGTGTCTGTGGTCCGCTGTGCAATTTCGTTGACCGTCGGGAGCTGAAGGGAAATTGTTTGGCCTTTCCAGTCTGGGTCACTTGGGGCCCGGAGTGTTTGTTTGTGGCAGATGTTCCCATTTGAGTTCACCCTCCTGAGAATCGAGACTTCCGTGTATACTCCTTTCCCTGCCCCTGAGGAGGCAGACAGGCGCGACCCTCCAGAACTGCCATGTTGGCCGAAGATGACGCGCTCGGAGCCCAGTTCTTGCCGCGTCGGGTACGTCGGGTACGTTCAGCCCATCGCTGAATCGCGAGTCCCGAGGCCCGGACCAGAGTCCAGCACTGAAAGCTCCCGTTTTCGTAGACCTCAGCCTGCACTTCTGCACTCTGTTCTGTCTGTTCTTCACGGGTGTTCTCAGTTCTTCTTCGCATTGCACCGCCGCTCCCTGGTAGTGCCAAGGACTCATGAATGTTTTCAAGAGAGACTCGAGCAGGGATGCGTGATCCTGCCGCCTGGATTGGATGGGCCGCGGCGGGATAGTTCATATTGCTGAACTCCCCTGAAACCTTTGGGCCATGGAAGGCAGAGATGCGAGAGTGTCACGGACACTACTCTGCTGAAGCTTGCTGCCATAACTCGACAGGCAACTACACTGCGTGAAAGAATATTGCATTTTGTACTAGTAGGTGCTCAGCCTCCACCTAGGGCCGGGGCACTTTGTGGGCTCGCCTGGCGCCGGCGATACATGAACAATCGTTGAACTGCTGCCTCGTCTGGCGACAACCAAACCAACAGCTGAGGTGATGTGAGTTCCATTGCTTTGGCCCAACGAGGCCGACAATGGATGTGAGGCCGATACTTCCGGTAAATGCCCTTGGCGGAAAGATCGCGCCACAGGCTGCTAGCAGCCTCCTGAAGATTTTCGGTTGCTTCAAGGCCCAGCTCCTCAAAATGGGCTTAGGCAGCCAGTAATGCTTTTGCTACAGGGTAGTCACAAACCAGCATGAACTCGGTTGTGGCATGCACAGCAGAAGAGACTCTCGAGCAAGTAAACTTGAGCTGGTGTTAGCACATCTGCCGTTTGAAGCAAAGTCGGCATGAGGCACATTGGTGCACATGCTGTGCAAGTACAGTCGAAGCCAGCGAGCCTGCCGCAGCACTAGACTTCACTACTGCTGGGGCAGGGCAAGAGAATCTTTGCCCGATGCGTATGATTGCAATATTTTCTGTGCGGCCGTGCAGTGTTATCTGTTTCCCGAGACTTTGCAACATGCGCCTAGGGCACTGACAGGTCTGCTTGTAAGCCGCTACCGGACACAAGTGACGTGGCGACCGTACCAAGTCGACTTCGCTGACTTTGAATGAGGACGCAATGCCACCATGCGTTTGAGATGTCGTGTCTTGCTAGCTCGAGGTTTCGCGTGCAAGGCATGAGATATGCTGACATGCTCATATATGCTTGTAAAGTCCTGGCCTGTCTTGGCCGCAGCCGTTCTAGCCATAGTGGCTCAGATGAGACAAGCTCTGGCCATAGCCCGGAGCACGAGCCGCTTTCTGCTCTCTTGAGGCCTAGACCCAAGAAGGCCGAAGAGCCAAGAGCTAGTGTCGTCTTGAGCTGTCGCTGTCATGTTCCGTTTCTCCAGCCTGAGGTGAAATGCAAAGCCGGCGAAGTGCTCATGCGACATTTCTCTTCCAGGAGATGGCTGAACCAGCAGCGGAAACAGCGTTTCTCGAGGTTCCGCTTCTCAGTGCGAGTGGCAGCAGCTTCCACCAGTGCCGTGCTGGCTTCCTTGCAGGCACAGGCAAGACCAGTTGGGCGTGCGGCCGCAGCACATGGACTTCCTGCAGAAGAACCAGCTCTAGCAAGCTCTCACAGCCATGCCTCTGACGCGTGGGGCACGGAAGGCCACCATCTCCGTTTGGAGGAGTCTTCGTTGGCTGATCTGACAGCGAGTTTGAAGTACTTACCCGGTGCGGCAGTTACTGGTGGAGCTGCAAGCATGGTGAACGTAGTCTTTGGAGTTTCGGTCATTGGGCTCCTAGCTTTTCAAGCTACCCGATCCACAATGGCGAAGTGCCTGCCTCCGAGAAAACTGGAGCTCGTACCCTCGCCTTTGCTAGATCCCCCACCGTCCGGAGACTGCGACGAGGCGACATAATTCACCACGTCCGAATCAGTAGAATCCTACACTATCCCACAGTGATGCTCTTGGACTCTTCGAGCGGCAAGACGTGGCTCACAGCAGGCACGGGTGGGGAAGACTGGCAAGAAAGGAATTATCTGACGTGCACAGGATTGTGAAAATGAGTTCGCTCGCAAGATCATGGGGTTGAGGCGCAAAACTCTATCACTCGGCATGGGAAAGCATTTGCCGAGGTTGCCGGAGCAGACGAGATGTCCAGCTTTGCCTGCAGGACCCGGAGGTTACTGTGTACCACTTGTGTAATCTGCTCTTCTGTGTGCTTGCGACGACCTGCGACCTGCACTGTCTGTGACTTGGTTTTGGTGCCCGTTGCTGCCCAAAGCTACTGGTAGATCGTACCGGCGGCTTGTATAGGCAGCATCTCCAGGCCTGGTGACTCTCTCTCTCTCTCACGCCTGTGGCTTCAAGTCCCGCGAGGGTGGAGGCTTTCTTTCACTTCTTGCTTAAAGGCACATGGCGGCAGCATGCCGTGCCATTGGCCAGGCATGCCAGCCGGCGAGGGCCCTTGTCAGAGTGCTTCCTGTTGCTGCCTGTGGGTTAGGACAAAGGCTTTAGGTCACAGGGTTTACGGAGACATCCGCGAGATTTGGAGCCGAGGTGGCAGCCGCGAGCTCCGTCGCCCGAAGCGCCCGTGGTCCCAGGCTGCCAACGCGATGTGGAAACGTTGCCACGGATGCGGACATGCTGGGACCTCGGGTCAGGCTCTGTATAAGCAGAAGGGCCACACGGCTTTGGGTTCTGTGGGAGTCAAGGCGTAGAGGAGGTGCCTGGGTTTGCTTTCCGGAGCGCTGGAGGCAACTGCGACTCGTGACGTTTCTTGCCCACACCCGGCCCCATTTTCTCGTGTCTTTTCTATGACTCAACCTGCCAACCTGCTGTCGGCATGTCGCAGCCCTGACGGTCTAGATTTTCGGGGGTAGAGTATGCGCGGTGGGTCCCTGAGGCCTCAGCCAATGCTTGATTCCTGGATGCTGGAGCCGCAATGCACGATGTTCCGTTCCCTGGTTTGCAATCTCCTTTGCGCATTTACAGGGTTCGCTTCTCACACAAAGCGTACGAGGGCTAGGACGTGTACCCTTGTGTGAATACGAGGTCAGTACCCTGGCTTGGCCATGCTTTCTGACTATGCAGCTACGCCTGCACCGGTGGAGCAGGCAGGTAACGGGAGATGTGATGATCTTGCAACCTTTGCTGACGGAAGGCCACCCCTGCTATGCCAGGAGGCACGGGAACCCCGTGAAGCTGTAGCGGAGGCAGTGGAGACGGCACCGGCCGTGGAAGAGGCCACCGAAAGGCCGGAGCCTGCACAAGGCGTGGCCCGTTTATAAGCGTAGGCTGCGGTAGGCTGCAGGCATGGCCAGGCGGCTAGCCGCTATCACCCGTTTCTGCTGAAGGTTTGCAGGACGAACCTCAGGGCCATCCGCCAAGGTGTGGCACGGCTCGGCATGGTGCGGCGATGCCGAAAAGTGGCTGCATGCAGCCACTTGTTGCAAGGCGGAGGACCCGCGAGCGCCGGGCACCAGTCACAGCTGTGACCCGGTGCATTTGTTTCAATTCGGTTTCTGAGTTTCGGAAACTTGCGGCTGGAGGCTGCGATGGTGATGAGGGATTATGAAATGCGCTTGCGAAGCCTGGAAGTGCAGTGTGGAGCACTCAATTCGCTTCCGGTGTCGTGCCTACCCAGTGCTGCACTGGTTACTAGTTTTTCCAGACGCTCTCACTTCAGGCCGCGAGCTCAACTCTCAGAATGCGCGACTGTCCTCGGAATCTTGGTCAAACATTGGCACATTTGACACCCGCTTGGTCTACTTCTGCATGATCGGTGCTTTTGCAGCAGGAACTCACGGCCGGAGAAGTGAAACAGCAGCAAGGCCTGAGGAGTGATTCCCCGGGTTTGGAACCTGTAGATGGCTGATTTCGAAGCACCTCTCGCTTTTCGAAGCTATTCCGGCCCAGGGCTCCCGGACAGCGTTTTTGCAGGGCATTCTGCGCAGTATGCGCAGTGTTCACTGTTCGGATGTGAAGTTTTCGATTTCTTGATTCCTGGCTTTCTTGTCTACGGCTCGTGGCTTTAAACGCACGGGTGGCTTCAGGACGTTCTGGTTTGCCATTGTCGTCCTCTTCGTGGGCTTGGTCTGTTTGCCATACACTTCGATGACTCACCCTTCTTCAACTTCTCGCAGCCGCTGATGCTGTCGTTTGCAGAAAGAGTCTTGAAAGGGGGAGGTAGCTGCGGTTGCTACTGACGGGAGGGCTCAACATTTGGAACGAGCTTGGGAGCGGGGGAGTCCCTGACCATTCGCGGGAGCTTGGTGCAGCGCAGCCCTCCGTTTTGCGCAGGCTGGAGCCCCCGCCCACACCCCTACATCGAGGGCTTTCCCTCCTGAAGGTTTAGGAGATTAAGTGGTGTTCCTTTTGTTTTTCACATTGGTTCTTGTTGTTTTCTTATTGTGTTATTTATGTGCTTATGTTTGCTGTATTGGTATTGATTTCTTGTTGTATTCGTCTTCAGTTGTTTGGATCTGTACATTTGTCTCGATGTGCTTATTTTACATCTCTAATGGTCCTTTTATGTTTTTTGTTGTCATTGTGTCCCTTTGTTTGTATTCATATGGCACCCTGCTTATACAAGGACCTCCAGGGGCATAGACCCCGAGGATTTAAGGCTACAAGTCGCGGTTCTCCAACAAGGCCGTTTTCACGAATTGGATAGTTCGAGTTTCTGTGGGGGGGAGGGGGACGCCGGGTGACGGCGTGCCGAAGGAACTGGGACCTTCGGGTCAAATGCCTCAGGCAAGCAACAGACATGCCGAAATATTCCGCGATAGCACAATCAGCACAGACAGTTTTCGCATGCTGGCAAAGAGCGACACTCCCTACAACAGAGTAAGTCCTTACCGCGACAAGGCTTGCAGACACACAGACAGGCTTTCTGACCACAACGACAAGCTATTTTCTTACACTGATAAGGGTTTGGGGTCAACCCTGGCAGTGCGTAGCCGTGGAGTCTTGGCTATCTTATACAGTGCATGATTCCATGAGCAGCTTGCAGACGACATGATTCGCAAATCTTGTCCGAATTGGCATTGATTGACAGCGCCTGCCATGGACGGGCAGGGACATCAATAATAAGTTAGATCTGCGACTTTCTGCCTGCCCTCGAAATGGTTTAGAGCAAATATTGCGGCAAGGTTTTTTGGGTTTCGAGCTTTTGATGAGTTTTAGGCTCTTTAGGCTCTGAAAATCGCAAAAAAGTGACTCCCGCAAGTCCCTCCTCCATTTCTCCTGCCACATGCGGGGGAGTTACCATTCTGGGGGTTATGGGCTGTGAAAATCGCAAAATGGCGACTCCCACGCATCCCTCTCTCTCTTCTCTCCCGCCGCACATGTGGGAGTCACCATTTTGGGGCTTTTGGGCTGTGAAAATCGCAAAATCACGATTCCCGCTCGTCCTGCCCCCCCCAGTTCTCTCACCACACGCGGGGGAGTTTCCATTTTGGGGGTTTGGGGCTGTGAAAATCGCAAAATGGAGAATCCCGCGTCCCTGCCCCCCGCTCTCCCGCCACACGCGGGGGAGTTTCCATTTTGGGGGTTTTGGGCTGTGAAAATCGCAAAATGGCGACTCCCGCGCATCCCTCTCCCCCTTCTCTCCCGCCACACGTGAAAATCGCAAAATGGTGACTCCCGCGCGTCCCTCCCCCCCGTTCTCCCGCCACCAGAGTGGATTCTATTAGCCTGTCATGGCAACAACGCGCTCTCGATCTCCCACCACACACGTGGGAGCTACCATTTTGGGGCTTTTGGGCTGTGAAGATCGCAAAATGACGATTCCCGGGCGTCCCTGCCCCACGCGGGGGAGTTACCATTTTAGGGGTTTCGGGCTGTGAAAATCGCAAAATGGAGACTCCCGCGTCCCTGCCCCCCCGCTCTCCCGCCACGTTACCCTCGATCTCCCGCCACACGCGCGGGAGTCACCATTTTGGGGTTTTTGGGCTGTGAAAATCGCAAAATTACGATTCCCGCTCGACCTGCCCCCCCACTTCTCTCACCACACGCGGGGGAGTTTCCATTTTGGGGGTTTGGGGCTGTGAAAATCGCAAAATGGAGACTCCTGCATCCCTGCCCCTCGCTCTCCCGCCACACGCGGGGGAGTTACCATTCTGGTGGTTTTGGGCTGTGAAAATCGCAAAATGGCGACTCCCGCGCATCCCTCTCCCCTTCTCTCCCGCCACACGTGAAAATCGCAAAATGGTGACTCCCGCGCGTCCCTCCCCCCCGTTCTCCTGCCACCAGAGTGGATTCTATTAGCCTGTCATGGCAACAACGCGCTCTCGATCTCCCACCACACACGTGGGAGCTACCATTTTGGGGCTTTTGGGCTGTGAAGATCGCAAAATGACGATTCCCGCGCGTCCCTGCCCCACGCGGGGGAGTTACCACTTTAGGGGTTTCGGGCTGTGAAAATCGCAAAATGGAGACTCCCGCGTCCCTGCCCCCCCGCTCTCCCGCCACGTTACCCTCGATCTCCCGCCACACGCGCGGGAGTCACCATTTTGGGGTTTTTGGGCTGTGAAAATCGCAAAAGCACGATTCCCGCTCGACCTGCCCCGCCAGTTCTCTCACCACACGCGGGGGAGTTTCCATTTTGGGGGTTTGGGGCTGTGAAAATCGCAAAATGGAGACTCCTGCATCCATGCCCCTCGCTCTCCCGCCACACGCGGGGGAGTTACCATTCTGGTGGTTTTGGGCTGTGAAAATCGCAAAATGGCGACTCCCGCGCATCCCTCTCCCCCTTCTCTCCCGCCACACGTGAAAATCGCAAAATAGTGACTCCCGCGCGTCCCCGTTCTCCTGCTATCAGAATGGATTCTATTAGCCTGTCATGGCAACAACGCGCTCTCGATCTCCCACCACACACGTGGGAGCTACCATTTTGGGGCTTTTGGGCTGTGAGGATCGCAAAATGACGATTCCCGCGCGTCCCTGCCCCACGCGGGGGAGTTACCATTTTAGGGGTTTCGGGCTGTGAAAATCGCAAAATGGAGACTCCCGCGTCCCTGCCCCCCCGCTCTCCCGCCACGTTACCCTCGATCTCCCGCCACACGCGCGGGAGTTACCATTTTGGGGATTTTTGGGCTGTGAAAATCGCAAAATCACGATTCCCGCTCGTCCTCCCCCCCCAGTTCTCTCGCCACACGCGGGGGAGTTTCCATTTTGGGGGTTTGCATGGGGCTGTGAAAATCGCAAAATGGAGACTCCCGCGTCCCTGCCCCCCTCTCCCGCCACACGCGGGGGAGTTACCCTCGATCTCCCGCCACATGCGCGGGAGTTACAATTTTGGAGTTTTTTGGGCTGTCAAAATCGCAAAATCGATTCCCGCTCGTCCCTGCCCCCCAGTTCTCCCCATTTTGGGGGTTTGGGGCTTGAAAATCGCAAAACGGAGACTCCCGCGTCCCTGCCTCCCCGCTCTCCCGCCACACGTGGGGGAGTTACCCTCGATCTCCCGCCACACGCGCGGGAGTTACCATTTTGGGGTTTTTGGGCTGCGAAAATCGCAAAATGGCGACTCCCGCGCGTCCCTGCGCCGCCTTGTCCCGCCACACGCGGGGGAGTTACCATTTTGAGGTTTTTGGGCTCTCAAATTAGCAAAATGGGAACTCGGGTGCCAAAAGCACCCGGAGGGTTCTTGGGGATGGATTTTGGAGCTTGACGGTCCGTGGTAGTGCCTTGCTATTCTGCATTTTATTTGATTCAATATGTAAAGGAATGATCCTCTAGATGATCTTCCCATGCAGTTTAGACGACATCCTGTAAGTCCTACTCCTAGTCAGTCCTAGTCATTTCTCTGCGATCACGAACACTCCTTCTCCTGACCCGAACCCCAGAAATCAACAGCAGCTTTTGGCATGCTGCGAAAAGCAGGTGCCTGTGGATGGGCTTTTGTAGCAGCAGCAGCAGCAGCAGCAGCAGCAGCAGCTGTAGCGGCAGCAATACCGGTGCTGATGCTGCTGATGTGTCTTGCTGCTGCTGCTGAAACCTTGTCGTGGTGAGGTTTTGATGCCTTGTCGTGGTGAGGTTTGCAATGCGCTGGCGTGGTGAAGTTGTTTTTTGTTGTGGTCTCGATATTTCTTGTTATGGTGTGGATTTTATTTCTCTGTCATGGTAACAACGCGCTCTCCTCCCTACAACTCCCTACAGGGCGGGGGTGCATTGCGGATATGTTTAGTAAGCTGCTAAGTCCGCTGTGGCCGAATGACCTTGATGTTTGCATGCTTGATTTGCGTGGTATCGTAAATTTGACATGCACGAAGAGCATCACCGACAACGCGACGCATCACGGCAAAATGTATCTCGTGAGGCCGCGAGCTGAATCTTCGCCTGAGCCGTGAGGTTTTGGACTCAAGCAGTCACACGACGTTGTAGCACAGTTGGGCTTGTCCATACTGACACTCATGACCTGCAGAAGAGCAAGGCGTGTTTGTTTGCCCCATCCTTAGGTGCAGGAGCTGCGCAGACTCAATGCAGAAGCGAACGCAAAGGTCAGCGCGCTCGAGGAGGAGTGCTGACTGGTAAATTCTCCAGACTCTCTGCCTTAACTTGAGTCATTGCTGAAGACAAGGAGCGTGCAATACAACGAGACCTTCCCGCCTCTCCACCAGATGATGTTCAGCCAGTTCAGCCTATGACTGCCTCAAGTCTCCTCGAGGTTGTCGAGCTCGTGGAGCCCTCCGGCTTCAGCATTATTGTCTGAGCGAGGATGTTACGAGGTGAATCTAGTTAGTGTAGTTTCCCATACGCTTGAGGCCGCCCCCTGGCTTGGGTCTTCAATCCCTGGCGTCGGAGGCCTATGCCCCGATTGAGGACCCTACCACGCATGTCGGCCCGGCGGGGCCAAGCCGCTGAGCGCTTCGTGCGTAAAACCAGAATGGCACCGGGGAGTTGTAAGCTTGCAGGCTGCGTGGCCGGTTTGAGAAAATGTAGGAGTGAGCTGTGTTGGCTAGAGACTGCAACGGCGACCGAACCCATGTCTCGGGGTTTCGAGGTCTGCATTCAGTGGCTTTTGTCTGCGAGGAGCCAGAGCTTTTCTGGGGCTGTGAACAGATGCAGATCTACTCGGCGTCACTCCTTCTCGCACACCGTGAACCTTGGCAGTCAGACTTGTTACGTGGTATGATCTGGTTGCAACTCTGACCTTCCTACTTAGTCAGTCTGCGTGTCTCAATGAAGGTCAAGGCGGAGGAAACAATCAAAAGAAGTTCCATTCTCCGTTCTGTGCTTTATCCCGCCCACTGTGCGGCACTGAGGATCTGACTTTGACAGCCGATCTGGGTCCCCCAGGTCTTGAGCACCCTGCGATGGACGGCCTGAGAACAGAGGTCAGCGAGTTGGTGTAACAGTTAATCTTTGTGGGTTTTGTCGAACGGGATCCGGATGTGTGGCATGTTCAGGAGCATGCATGCATTAAAACCCAGGCTGCATCATTCTATCCGGCTTTTGCAGGAAGTGAACCGGGTCAAGCCTCTTGAGCAGAATAAGAGCAGGTGTAAAACTATCGGATAAGTGCTACGTGCAGGTCGCGTGCACTGTGCCCTTTATCAAGTTCTTGCCGCAGCTGGGGTGACAATCGTCGTTTGCCATGTAATGTTCTTTCTTGCAAACTCTTCCCCCCTGCTCATGAATTTCTTCAGCCCCGAGGTCCGAGGTTCAATAACAGCCAGCTTGCCTTCATGCTCGATTGTTTTGCATTGTTTTTGCTGGTATTGGAAGGTTATGTGGTTTGGCTGTCTCCCGATCACACCCTGCTTCATCTTGCCACACATCTGCAGGAGGTGCCAGATGTCATTTCGCGGAAAACCTGGCGGCCACGGAAGCTTCAGGTTCAACGGCTTCACCGGAAGCGGCTGAACAAACGACAGCCCAAAGCGGCAGCTGCTTGAACACAGATTCTGATGAGTCTGACGATAGCACGTTCCTCCCGCGTGTGCTGTCTGACGCTCTTGTGATGACCTGCGATGTCAGCGCGGTTGTTGCAAGAGTGAGGGTAAGGGTCTGGCTGGACGGGAGTTATGGCATTTATCCGATTACATCCCTGCAGAAGGGTGATGTACGGCACGCTCAGGCCCAAGAAAGTAACATGCTGACCAGGGGGTACCTTCCTGTTCGCCAAAGCCGCTGGACCGTCTGGCTTGTGCAGCCCAATCCGTTTCCTTCTTTTTCATTTTTGCAGCACTGCTTGCAGGACGGCTGTGTGCTTGCAGACGCAGGAATGGTATGAATTTACTCGCGGGTGTTTTGCCATGTCTTGCCGATACATACAGTTAGGTAGCTTCGACTTGCGTACTTTCTTGCCGTCTGAGTGCAGCACAGCGCCACGTCAGCTTTCAGGCTAGGCCGTCGCTCTGACACATCGTAGCATGATGAGGAATTTCCAAAGAAAGCGAGGTGGCGGTGGCACACGGCAGTCCTTCGCAGAGCTTCTGAGGGAGCGAAGCTCCGGAGCTTGTAGTGACAATTCGGTAATGCAATGTAATGCATCCTGGAATCTGTTGGCACGAGTTGCTTCGAACAGGCCACACTGGCATTGACCGTCTTTGGAAGGCTGTGAGACCTTCCTAGCCTAGGCTCCTGCATCAACAAATCCTGCATCAAAGCAAGCGAGACATTGCTGGGCGTGATGTTGCTGCATCTGTGGGCCGTCGCCGGCAGTGGTAACGGGCAGTCCATTGGTCGCAGGACAATGGCAAAAACCTACGAGGGCCTGGCAACGCTCGCCCGGGAGACTGCGGATGCCACTGCTGCTGCCGCCGTGCCTCGGTGACATCTTTCGAAATAAGCCGATCCAGGCTGAAGGCTGTCAGCTGTCAGGTGTTTCACCGTGCGTTTTGCAAACGAGCTGAGGTAATGGTCGGGGACGCGCAGAAGAACGCCCATGTGCTCAAGGAGATCCTTGACAAGCTGCAGTGCAAGGCCGAAGCAGATTTCCTGTCGAAGTGTCATATTAGCCAGCCATGCGAGGCGAAGGCAAAGAAAGAGAGGTCCAAAGACGAAGACGAGGAGGCCAAAGACGCTGATACCAGCAGCTCCTTGGTGAGCACTGGCTGGCTCTCTATACAGGAAGTTTGGTGATGTCCCTGGCCATGTCTTGCCAAGGCGATGAGGAAAGCGCGGAGACCACAGAGGAACATCCGATTGTGGCTTTGGACAAGTTCACCTAGCCGACTGGAGACTTGCAGCCAGCATGCGGGCTGGTAGGACCGAGCATGCTCAAACAGAAGGCTGCTCCTAAAGTTGAACACCGAGGCAAGGAATCGAATAGATGCCCGGCCTAGTGAGAGTCGAGCTCGCCACAGGTCTTGGACTTACAGAAGGAGATGAGGAATCTCATCTCCAGCAATCCAGCCCTTATGCCGGAGGTCGGTGTGGCGCAGTTCCCTGGCATGAATCGCACAACAAAGCAGCCTAAAAATGCCCCCAAACACAGTCTGTGCAACATGCTCAATGACGGCTCCTCCGCCTGAGCTTCAGAAGCGGGTTTCAGATTATACTATGTAGTAGATGTTCTTGCAGCTCTGCTTTCGAGAGTTTGGTGTCAGGAAAGAATGGATCTTTCGCCTCGCAGCAGAACTCATTGAGCAGAGCCTTTGCAGCGACTTGTGGTCTTACCCGGCTTCGCCATTCAGTCCTGCTCTGTTCAAGATTCTGCTCCCGATGGCAAGGACGAAGTGGAAATTCACGATGCTTGGGCTTCACGGTCAGCATGGCCCGTCCTCGTGGGATGAAGCGATGCAGGACCTTCGATGGGTCGGCTTAGCAAAAACGACACGGCTCCAGCTGCCGGCAGGAGACGCTCCGCGTGCTTCAAGCAGCTGCGCTCGAACTCAGTGCAGGGAAAGGCCTCGCAGCACTAAATGAAAGCTGCAAGCTGAGGCGAATTGGGATGGTTTCGCAACTCCCCTGTTTGATGCTCGCATTCTCCGAGCTGCAGCACTGGTCGACGCGAATCTCTTGTCCAAAATGCTCCAGGCACTTCGTCTCAGGCAGGAATCCGGCCAGTCTGCGGCGCCGTGCTGACAGGACGCGTTGCAGGTCTGCGAAGACTCGACCCCGCCCGGCTCAGCAGGTGCAGCTGCTCAGCCATTCCGTCAGCACAAACCCAAGCGACGAGCAGGCGATGCTGACGACCAACCAAGCCATGCCAGACACCAGTATTCGGCGACTTGTCTGCGTCGGTGCAAGCCACACACTTCTGGTGAAGGAAGGCAAGAAGTAGAGGCAGGCCTGTCTTAGCATCGCAGGAAGCCGTCAACCTTCTTTGCCGCCACGGAACAGCTGAAACGGTCGCAGTGCAGGCATAGTCACTGGGAGAAGGTGACTGCATAGAGCTTGTGTTTCACAAGAGACGAAACCTGGCGAACGATGTATAATGTGCGGTTTGCTTTCGTGACTTCCTGTGCACCCTTGTCCCTGCAGTTGGTTAAAGGCGTGGACCCGGGTCACGTCTGGTGCCACCCTGGTGCTAGTAGCTGCTGTTGGCCGCACTGGTGCAGGGAGTGGTATTCGGAAGCGGTCAAAGTATTCGTCCTAGTATTGTCGAGCTAGACGGCCTGCAAAAGCCACATGTAGCTAGCCTGCAGTGTAGTGCCTGAAGCAGGGATACATCGCCCCGGTTTTGTCGGATCCAGGCTCCGAGAGCTTCAAGAAAGTCAGGTCCAAGCTCCGAGAGCTTCCTCTTCATGTACAGCGCAGACGGAGAGGTTAGCTCGAGATCTTAGCTGTTGGGCGGAGAGGCTCGCCCACGAATTTTCTAATGGGCCTCTGCACGTAGATGCTTTCGCATGCTATGCATGTATCGAATTCCGTTGCTTCGGCAAGAAAAAACTCTTCGTGTCGGGGGGGCCACTGACCGCTTCCGAAGAGTGAAGCCGAGCCTGACATCTCTCTTGCCCAAGCCGATGTTCAGGAAGCTGAGGTGGACAGACAACGACCCCCACCAGCGTCATCACCTTCACCACTGTCTCGCAGCTCTTTCCTTTGATTCCTCAGCCCTGCAGCTCTACAAGCACAGTCGACGGTACAATAGTCGCAGAGGCCATGATCTCACATCATGAGAGCCTGGGCCTTGCTTGTGGAGAAGGCTTCAATCGACGTCTTTCATTGCATGATCAGGCTCTTTGTCAAGTCGCTTCATGTGTTTCTTCTTCGATTTGCGCACAAGAACGGCCAGATTGAGGTGTACGGCAAGTCAATTTCGAGCAACGCACCGGACCGCGCAGGCTCATTGCGCCTTCGCTGATTGATAATGGTATGTTCGCCCCATAGTTGCACCGACAGTCTGGCCCAAAGACTAGCAACCTGGCCAAGAGGGCCTTGGGCCCCAAAGGCCAGGAGTTGCAGGCCAGTGTAGAGTCGTAGAGTTTAGAGCAGCAGTTGGATGGAGAGTGCGGGTGGCCGAACCACGGAGGAGGCCTTGTGAGTACAGCAGCATGCAGTCTCTGCTTGCCTTGTAGCTCGGGATGCCTGTTTGTGTGGTCTCGGCGCAGGCAGACATCCATCGCACACTGCAGGTAAGCATAGCGATCTCCGCGCCTGGGTCTACGATTCAAAACAACCGAGAAGCTGACTTGCTATTTTGTTGCAGTTTCCACTTCGTTTCGACCGGGGCCAGGATTTGTCAACATCCTTGAGCAGCCTAGGTGGGTGCAACGGAGGCAGGCAAAGTGGCCTGGTCCCGGTGGCTGAATGCCCCACAGCTGAACAGACAAAGCTTGAGGGTCCGCATGGCACCCAGATACCATTCCGTTGGCCGGAGCTTGCTGAGGATGGGTTTGGCTACTGGTGGGTAAGCTCCAGCGGGTTCTCATTTTTCCACAATGACGGCAAGAGCCTGAGATTGCTGCAGCTAGTCTCAGCTTTATAGTATAGGTCGCAACAAATCTGCGCAACAACCAAGGTGGTCATGGACAGATTATCGCAGTGAGCTGAGTAAGGGCCGTTTTGTGCCCTTGAAGGACTTCAGCCCAAAGCCGTTTGCTTTCGAGGAAGCGATGCTGTCGTTGACACTAGCCTTGGTGGTTCTGGACGTTGCCCTGGAAGTCAGCGCTCGGATGTTGGGGCTTCTCGGTCAACATGTTCAGTGTTCAGACTGCACACTGCAGAGGCGGTGCAAAGGTCGTCCGTCAGATTTGGTAGCGCCTGCAATGGTCTTTTGCTGACGTGCTCAGGCGTCGGCTCACGCAGCAACTCAACTTCATTGCAGACGAGAGACAGACATTCCCATAGGCTGCGCTTCGCGATAGCGTTCTTTCAGAGTCAGAGGTCAGCCAGACATATTGGGTCCAAACGTCGCGTGACCCGAGGTGGGTTCATGCTGGAATTTGGCTGCTACTATCCCTGCTGGGTGCAGCAGACCTTGCACTGAACATCGGCGCCGGTGGTGCGCGGGTCTCGCTACCATTGGTTCTTTTCGCCATCACCGAATGCGGCTACGTTCCTTGCACATGTCCGCGAAAGTGAGAAGCTGTTGCTACAAATCGCATCAGCATCACATGCAAGGCCGTCTTCCCGCCCAGAATGAACAAGCAAAGGCAGAAGACCCTCACTCCGAAGCGCTGAGCGAACCTTAACAGACTTGCATTCCGCACCTCACATACCACGCGTATTTAAGAGGGCTTCATATTTTCATAGCCATGTCCGTGCTCGTTTCCCGTGCACCTGTGTACTCTGTATTCTCTGCCCAAGTGATTCAAAGCTTGCTGCCGAGGTTTTCCGCATGGTTCTTCCCTGGTTACACTACGTATTAGCGAGCTTGGCGCTGATGATCCTCTTGGCGGTCCTGCTTCTGCCAGTCTTGATCCGCTGGACTCGTACAGCCACGGAACGCCGTGTTCCATGGGCGTGCAAGCTGGCACTCGGCATATACTGCGGCGCCTTGACAGGAATCTCCGCGGGGTTTCGTCGTGCGTGGTCCTAGTCGTAGACGGAGGCTCCGTGGCTAAGGCGGTGCTTTGTGGAGATGCCGCTCCGCTTCTCAGGGCGTGGGCGCCGATCTCTTAAGCCAGCTCTCCAGTGATGCCTTGGCCATGCTGACGGGAACCCTCCTGCCAGTGGACTCCCGTGAGGCGACGACAGAACCGCAACATACCGCATAGTTCTGCTCCTGTGGGCCACGTAGTGTCACAGGTGCTCGCCTCCCATGGAACTACGTTTAGTGTCTTCGAATGCACAGAGTGAAACAGGGTTTGGGCTCTCAGCGCAGTGAGCTCTTTCTCAGGCACGGCTACGACGTTTTTCCCTCCAATACTCCTGTTTCACTGGGAAGCTGGCGCAGACATCCTCCTGGATCGTTCAAACGCGAGCGCCACGCCTTACCTTCGGAGGCTAGTGCAGAGGCCCCTGCCATGTGCCAGAGACTGCTTGAAGCATGTTGCGTGCTTGTTCCTCTGCATCGAATGACTTCCTGCAGCTTCCTGCCAAGAAACTGTAACTAGTTCTTGGGCTGACGTGTCTAGACTCAAAGCTCGTAGTCTCCGTCGCGAGGCGTAGGCGGACAGCCAATCAGCAATCCATCCTCCACACCAAACAGTGCAACATTTTGGCAGACGACGATGCTGGCAAGTTCCAGGTTCGATCATCCACCACGGCTTGTGCAGTTGAACAGGCAACGAAGATCACCACCAGATTCGAAGCCTGCGCCGGTGTGTTAGGGTCGTTTATTCAAGAGACGACGGTGGGACGGTGCGCCGGTGCGGTTGAGCACACAAATGCAAGCAACACCACGTTCAAAGGCTACAAAGTCAGACTCATGAGTTCCAAGCCGTCGCTTTATGTGGTGGAAGTGCTGTGCATGCGTCCCATGGGTTTGAGGCCGGACGTTTTCTCGGGCAGTGCCATCGCTGGAGTTCCTGTGACCCTGAAGACAGCATGGGAGGCCAGAACTGGCCAGAATGTGCCGAGTGTGCGAAGCTGTAACCTGAAGACAGTGCGTGCTTGCGTGCTCGCGCTTGAACTGACTGAGCCGCTTCGTACTGAATCGGTGTGCTGTGGCTGTTGCAAGGTTCTTTGTGGGCTGCCAGCATCTTCAACAGCCGATTTTCGTGAACAGGGATCTGGATTGAGGCGCGGTGCCGAAGTGCCGAGATGCAAACTGACTTGAGATGCCGCGGTCCGACACATGCAAAGGCAATCGCTCTTGCAGGCTTTGTCGGTTCAAGTGTGAGCAATAGGCTCGCTCGCCCGACTCTCGCCCGACTTCCGGCGCCATGGCCTCGCTGGTAAGCTTCGATGAGATGAACCCGAAAGCAGTGATCGCCTCACCGAGGTCACTGCAAGCCTGTAAGCAGGAGGGTGTCCTGCCGCAAGAGTTGGTTTTCAAGCCCTTCGAGGCTTTCCAAGACAGGAACCTCTCACCGAGGCTGCAGAAGCTTCGCTTCGACTTCTTTGAAGCTAAAAGGCGCGATCTCCTCGCGGCAGCGCGGAGAGCCCGTGATGCCATCATGTCCGACGAGCACAGGGAGAAAGAGAGCAGCAACCAACAGCTGGCGCTCGTCGCCAAGGAAAGTGGGCTCACGAAAGGCGCAATCCTTGCATTGAACAGCGACACCTTGAAGCTTGAACGCCAGAAGTTGCTTCGAGCTCAGGAGACAGAAAGGAGTTGGTTGAAAAGCGCTTTGAACAGCGAACTGCATCAGCTCAAGCAGCTCGAGTCCGCGAACCAGACGCTCTCCGCCGAAGCAGAGGATCGACTCGACAAGATAAGAGAGCAGTCCCGCAAGATGAAGGAGATGAATGACAAGAGAGCGGAGATGGAGGAACGAAAGCAGATGGAAATGGAAGCCAGGCAAAAGTTGGAGAAACAACTTGCCAAAGAAGAGTTTCACAAGCAGCAGCTCGAGTTGCAGAACAAGCAGAAGGAAGATGCGAAACGGCTCAAGGAAGCCTACGAAAGACAAGTGAGAGATGCCGAGCGCAAGCGGCAGATAGAAAGAGAGAAGGCGGAGAAACGTGAGCAAGAGTATCGGGACTTGCAGGCTCGGAAGGACGAGATGCGGGCGCAAGATCAGAGGAGAATCGACCTTATGGGGCAGAAGCAGGAAGCCTTCCGGGAGCTTTTGAGGGATCGCAAGGATGCTCGCGACATGAAAATCTACAACAGCATTCAAGCCAATCAAGAGATTGAGCATAAGAGGCGTGAAGATTTCGAACGGAAGCAGTCCGAGGAGATGGAACGAGAGGAGAGGCTGATGCAAGCTGTGGCACTGAAGCAAGAGGAAAGTGCGAAAAGGTCTTTCCAGACGATGATGCGGCGGAAAGTCATCCAGGAAGAGGCAGCAAGGAAGGCCGAGGAGCGCCGTGGTGCCATCCTCGATCAGCAAGAAGAGACAGAGTATCGGTTGATGGAGCACGATGCCAAGAAGGAGCGATACTTGGACTTCAAGCGTGAGTTGGATGCCCTCAGGGCCAAGAACAAAGAGATTAATGTCGAGCGCCAGCGGAGGCGCGAAGATGCAGAGCGTGAGGCTATCGCTGAAGCTGTCAAGAAGAAAGACGAGAAGATCGATCACATGCATGCAGAGCGGCACAGGATGTGGGAGTTGAGACGTGCTGCCCAGGCAGAGGCATACAAAGCTAGAGCACAGGTGAAGGACGAGATTCTGAGGCAGCGCATCGCATCGAAATTTGACTCAAAGAAGCTGGAGGTCAAGCTCGAGTCCGTCATGCAGAGCGACCTCTTCAGCGCCAAGGTTCTCCAATCCAGTCAATCCGTGCCATCGATGTTGGGTTCCCTCCCTGCCAGCCGCTGATGCTGCGAGCAGTAGCCTTCGTGGAATGTCTTGGCTTGGCTGGCAGTGCAACGGGCTAATTGGTCAGCACTTGCCTTGTACAGAGGTAAGCTGAAGCCGGAGGCAATGTAGTCACCGTTCGGTTGGCGTAAGGCTGCTAGCCGATGGTGTTCGGACTCTTTACTATTAGGATTTCTGCTGCTGCTGCTGCAAGCTTGCAGTGCACTTGTCAATTCAATCCGCGCATGAATGTACAAAGGAAATACAGCATGTCAGCGCACACTGTAGAGGTAGTCTCACCACAAGGATGCACAATGCGACCACGCTGCATGTCAACAGATTGTAAACCTCAGCAATGCTGAAATTGCTGTCAGGGGTGTCAGGTGACACAGTCCATCGCGATGAGAGATTAGGCCATGAAGCGCATGCTTTGATGTGCTTGCAGGCAGGAGTGTCTTCCTCGAGCACTGAAGCGTTGCTGTGGTTACCGGTCCGTGCTCGCGAAGATGGACACTGAACTGCCAGACCTGCCTCGCCGGGTTTTTGGCTTCGAGGCCATTCTGAGCCAAATGTCCAGTGCTTGCAGCCTGGAGTTGTTCTGCAAAATAAGGTTTGTAAATCACACTCATTCTGTCACATCCTTTTTTTCTACTGCTTGACATCTCCGCGAGCTTCGAGGAGACAATTGTGGCTGAAGATGAGCATGGTCTTCTAGAAAAGCTCCGGCAACTGCTTGCCTCATGGGGTGCACTGAATGCTAGCTCACCGGCTTTCGTGTATTTCTACGGAGGAGACGCTCATCCCCCATACTATCAGAACCGCGTGGACAGCTCCGAAAGAGGATTTGCGGTCGAAGAGCTGATGGATGTGTTCCTAGCCCTCAATCGGAGAACCGATGCCGTTGCAGAGCGTCTTTCGGAGTTTTGGCCGCCTCCGAGAAAGGTTTCCGATTCCAGTCGCTGGCAGAAAGAGAACGGCTTGGCATTTACTTTTGGAGACCACGGCGAACAGCTGAGTGGTGCCGACCCGCCCCCGCATGGAAATCTAGTCTCGCCGGATGTGTCGCGGACCATGATGGCCTTCGAAGCTAGATCATTCTCTTCCCGAGTAGTCTCGCCAGGCCTTTTCCGCATGGCAGATGTTTATGCAACCATTGCCGACCTTGTCGGCCTGGAACTGAAAGGCAAGCTATTTATTGGAACCAGTCTGTTTGGAAAGCTTGAAGCTCAGAGCCAATCCAGACGGTTTGGTGTTGCCTCGTTCTCCTTCTACCGGCCAGGACCTTGCAGCCGGTTCCGAGAAATAACTTAGGACGACTCCGGATCGGTAATCGGGGCGGGATTTGTTGGGGCTGAAGACCCTGATGGACGTGCTTCAACCCTAAAAGCCTCGACTCAGGACCTTCTGCCCTGCTAGCCCTGTGAGCCTCCGCCTCCTCTTTTCCGACTCGAAGCGAAGCCCGAGATGACTTGTCGGGTGCCCGTCGCTCAACAAACCGATAATTATACCCAAGATGGGACACGCGCTGGAAGGCATCGGGAAGTTGAGTGGGTCACTTGCTAGGAGACCTCGCTGCCGCTCACTTCCGTGCCTCGGATGGCCAGATCTGTGCTGCGGAGTTCCACCGCGGCTCTCAAGGCTGGAAACTCTTCAAGGCCAGCTTCTGCCGCAAAAATCTGCTGAGCCTGATGCCATGTGAGCCAATCTACGCGCTGCTGACTGAAGGCAGACTCTTTGCAAGATCTCTTCGGGAGTGGAAAGAGCCTATCTTCCGTCGAGGCTGGCGAAGCAAACCCCGTGATTGGCTTGCTCCGCGGAAGCTTTTGAAGTATCCTCTTGAGTACCCTCTTCAACGCAAGTAAAGGAGCCGGGGTCGGCAATCGTGCCGCTCTCCCGGTCATAGTCAGACCAGAGAGGAGCTCTGCCAGCAACAGTGGGAGGAGGGAGGGAGCAGGGCTACTCTGAGGGACTCACGCCTGCCAGGCCAACGCGAGCAGCACGTGTGCCAGTGAATCCATGGCTGCGCTGAGCTGGGCGTTGAAGCAGCGACAGGCCATGAACACATTGCTGACCGCGGTCTTGCGGCAATTTGCACAGCATGCCTGTGATGTGGAAACCGTTTGTCTTTGCAACATCTCAGAGAGGTTCTTGCAAGAAGCTGCAGTTGCTGATAGCTAAGGAGTCAAACGTGCATGCGGCGTGGCTCCTAGCTTCTGTCAAGGCAGCAGTGTCGCGGGATTCTTGGCAGCAATGGTCGATCAATGGGATCAATGGAGGCTGGGGCTAGTCGTTCAAGCACGATTCGAGCCCCGCCCCGGTTCAAACATTGCGTTTCAAGCATTCAATTGAAGCACGTGCGATGCAGGCATTCGCGGTTCAAACCAAAGCGATTGGAGCAGTGCAGTTTCAAGTTTGGGGTACTTGCGGTGCTTGTGCTTATGCTTGTTGTTGTTGTTGTTGCTGCTGTTGGCGGTGTTGTTGATGGTGTTGGCATTGCCGCTGTGGCTGTCATTGTTGTGCTGTTGCTGCTGCTGTGGTGTGTTGATTTGCTTGCTAGCTTGGTTGTTCATTGATTATTCTGCTTGTTGGCTGCTTGCTTTTGCCGGTGAGTTGGTTGACTGGTTGGTTGGTTTTGCTGCTTGGTTGACCGGTTGTTGTTGTTGTTGTTGCTGGTGCTTCTGCTCTCGACGGTGCTGTATGATGCGGCCGTTGAAAGTGGAAGATTAGTATCCGTTGCTCATGCAAGCAGGACTTGCTGACTCAGGCTGCAGCTATGGCAAGATGGCTTCTCAAGAGAATGTTGCAACCGTTCCTACCTCCACCCGCAGCGAAGCTGATACTACATGAAGGATGCACAGACGGCCAGAAGAGAACTTCTGTGCATGTCGCCATCTAAGGCAACCTCGAATTGCTCGAGCGGGCAGCCGGCTCATGAGGGTACAAAGGACGAGTTTTAGTCCTCCGGCTCGCATAGGTCGGTGGAGCTGATCTCTTTGTAGAGAGTCTACAGAGACATCCCGGCGCTTCAGGCACCGAAACACGTGCCTGTGTGCCTTGTTGCGATTTCTGGCACGCTGGCCTCTGGCCGACAGCGGGTGATAATACCTCCAGGTTAGCAGTGAGCTGGCATTGTGCTTGAAATCTGTAGCGCGGGTGACTGCGAAGAGCCAGCTTTTGTACAGTGTTCCTTGGCCCTGAAATGGCGTTTCTTCGGTTTGTAGAGCGCTGTTCCATTTCCGCCGCACCGCGCCTTGCCGATGCCAACAGATATTCCACCTGCTGAAGCTGGCGAGGTGAATCGCAATGCCTGACTGGGAGGGAGAGTAGGAGAGAGATACAGACTTGACCTGAACCTCGTGTTGACGAGAGTCAGACGGAAGCTCTGTTGTGAACTAATGCGAGAGCCCGAAGGCGCACGGGAAGGTTTGCGAGCTGCGACCTCCGTGCCTGTGTGGCCCCGAGCATTCCTCGAATCCAAAGGGCCGGGCCGGATCTGCCGAGCACTCCGAGCCACGCAATTTTTGCAGGTGGCAGGGAGTTTGGAGCGCTTGCAGAGGTGTTCAGCATTGCTACGATGCCGCATGTCTTTGCGTCATGCCACTCGGAACAGGCATCGAGAGAACATTCGCCGTATCTACAATGAACTCAATGCAGATCGGCCGGCTCCTTATCGACATTGCGTCTAGTGGTGGATCTGATCATATCTTGCCCCGACATGCGACAGCATATTCCCAGTTGCAGTGTGTTACATTGTGAAGCCTGCAATGCGGGTCGTCAGACGCGCCAAGTGGGAGCCAAAAACATGCGGGACAAAATCAAACTGTGCAGGCAGGGGTAGAGAACATCAAACACAGATCAAAGAATCAAAATCAAGCAGGGATCAACGAGTCAAAGCCCAGTAAGAGTAGCTGTTCGTGAGCTCTTGGCATCTCTCTCTGAATGGGAAGGAGGGAAGGAACTCCGACGACGATTGCTATTGTTGCGACTGCTCCTACTAACTAGCAGTAAAGACTACTAGGACTACTGTCTACTCTGCTACGTACTACTGCTGCCGCTGCTGCTGCTTCTACTTAATGCTACTGCTACTGCTGCGAGGATTGCTAGTGTGATTTTGACACCTTTCTTGATTTTTGATGCCTGGTCGGGATCTCGCCTGTCCTGTCAGGGTGGCACCCCAAAGGTAAAGACAGACAGTAAGTTGACCTCAGTCGACAGAGATACGACAAGTATCGAAAAGTCATTGTTTCGCAAGGCACTGGAAATATGCTTGAGTAAGGCGCTGTCGGAAGCAGAGACTCTTCGAGAAACCTCAATGCGCTATACACACAGGAACACGAGACCGACCTAGCTACTGTGATGGCAATCAGAATCACGGAAGGTGATACGTTGTGGCAGAGAAGGGCCACAAGCTTGTTGTGAAGTATGATGGTGTGTGTTTGTGTGCGCGTGTGCTTGTGCACGCTCGCTAGAGTGCACGTGTCGCTTCCTTCGCTCCTGGGTGGCGGGCAGAAGTGGCACTTCTCACGCTGCGAGGCTTCTTGGTACACTACGTATGCAAGTGTAAGATGATGACAGAGAATACAGGAGACGGGTGAAAGGTTTCCTGTCTGCGGAACCTGCTTGAGCGTATAGAGCTGACTTAGACGGAGGGTGAGGCTGTCGATGTTTTTCTTGGTTTGTAAGCTGGCAGGCTAGTCAAACCATCAGCATGTGTAGCATCGTGAGGTCTGACGCTACAGAAAGCATCAGGGTGGAGAAAGAGGTTGCGACAGCTGGAGTGTTCCTACCTCAGATGAGGCTCTGCTGCCTTTGCCGTTGTAGCTTGAGCTGATGATGCTGATGTCCCAAGTGTTGGTCTGCTTTCACTGTATGGTTCCCAACTCTGAACAGACGCAGGTACTGAACCTAAAGTTTGGAGCATCAGCGGTGTTCCATAACTGCACCTTGTCGCATGCGACGCTCCAAGGGCTTTCGCGGCACTCTAGAATGACGTTCATTCAACACGGCTTGAAGGAAGCACCGCAAAATGTTGTGCTGTGTAGCCTTCTGATGGCTTCTGCAAGGCATGGGCTGGAGCCCTTAGATCATCAATAGGCCAAGGCCATGTGTGAAGTTCTTGCGTGCAAGTCAGCGTGCCGATGTGTGTTGGCCTTCGCAGAGCCGGTGCCTTTTGAGCTTCGGGTTGTCACTTGTGGGGTGCTGTGCCGGGTTGAAATCAAGAGGTGAGGAAGTATGGAATGGTATGAGCTGCTATGCACTACGCCAGAGTTGCTGGCGGGGCTACGCCGCGAAATTCACATATTGAACGCTGCGACTGCGACTTTGTCGTTTAGAGCCGGACGGACATGGTCGTGCGTAGCTGAAAGTGTAGGCGTGGCCCAGGCCTTCGCCAAGTGCGTCTTGTGGTCAGAAGAACCAGATTCCAACACCAGGCCTCAAAAGGGTTTGCAATTTGTGCCGTAGCGGCTTGAGGCTGCGTTCTCGCTTCGCAGGGCGGACGTCGCCGACGGGAAGCGCTGCTGAGTTTCCAAAGTCAGGAGGCGGACCCCGTCGCATTTTTGTTGCTTGGAGATGTGCTGATGGCGCATGCCTGGCCGTTCAGGGCACGGTCGAACTTGGGCGAGTTCAACTGCGAAGTCCGAGAGGCTGGGGAGTGCCAGGACAAAGCGGCCCCAGCCGAGTGAGCGGAGGTTTTCAGAGAGGGAAGAGCTCCTCTCGCAGAGGCCTCGGTCTCGGTGTGATGCTAAGATGCTACTTGCAACTCTGTTTGTCCCAGGCCCGCATCACCGGAACGGCCCGCAGACGATCCGGTCAGCCAGGATGCGATGTTTGAAAGCCGGGGACATGTGCATTGTCACGTCGGTGCAGGAAATTCTGGAGGCACTGCAGCATTACGAGCCTCCACGGCCAGGAGTCCTCCCCACAGACTTGGCAAGAGCAGGCTGAAGCTGTCTCACTGGAAATCAAGCCCGCGATGCACGGCCCTGAGGTTGCAGCTGGTGATGAGGGAGATGCACAAGCCAGCAGCGTGCGGCCAACGAGCGTCTGGATCGCAACTCCTGTAGCCTGGCTTTGGCTTTGTCTTCCAAAATCTGTTTTGTGAGCAGGTCCGTTGCCGCCGGAGGAGTTGGAGCACGATGCCCAGATGTGCAAGCAGGTGATTCACAAGCCGAGTCCGCAACAACCACAGTCGCCCAACAATAAGCATCCCAAAAGTTCATCGATGATCATCATGCATAGAAGCGGGCCAGCAGTTGAGAAAGGTCAGCTGATTCCATTGGGTTTGTCTATGCTCTGAATTTGGCTCTTGGAGTCACGCATTCTTAGATGTAGCTGTAATGACGCAAGCCGCGAGATGCTAGCTGCAAGCGGCTGACGCTCCAGCCCGGCCTGCGCGGGGCACCTCGACCTAAGAAGAAGGTCCAGGAGAAGAGGGGGGCCGCGGGGCCTGTGGTGACTGTCCGTGACCGTCCTTTTAGGCAGACTTAGAGATGGGCGGGATGCGGCAACCTACTTCCATATATTGTTGCGCCAAATTCACCGTGGCGGCAGAGTCTCGGCAGCATGACAGGGCTGAAAGCGCAAGGTGTGAGAGCTGAGCTTCCGCAAATCTGTGCGGCCGTCCCAGGTGATTACTCTGTTATGCATGCTTGGTACCGTCTTCTGGGCTTCACACGACAGTTCTGAGAGTTCACGGCCGCCGTCGTCCTTTGGCTGGATGCGCGCTCCAGGATGTGCTGGATGGCTGACATGAAGCCTGGTGTGCTCAGGTTTCTGCAGATGACGTCCTCGAGGCCACGCCAAGCTTTCCTGCATGCTGCTCCTCTCTGTTGCTTTTGTTGCCATGTCGCGTCACATAGCTGTGCTGCAGGATGCGATCCTGGGGGAAGCATGAGCTTCGGAAGGCAGTCGTCTCATGGCCTGAAGTCCTGCGGAAACGAGTGACGTGTTGCAAGGAGAGCCTGTGCCCGGCAGAGCTGCGCAGCCGACATGGCGACTGCTTCTTGGCACCGTCTGTGGTGGTTTGATGGTGCAAGCGAGTTTGACAAAAGTGACGAGGCCGAGTCGTCAAAGTGCGGCAGACGCTGCAGTTGGGCAAGTCCATCAGGCCGGCTGTCAGTGAGGCTCTGTGTTCGAAAGTACATCTTTCTGTCAGGACGAGAAAGCACACCGTGATCGTTTGGAGTGTCACCCGTCGTCAGCAGACACGATGCAGAAAAAAAACGCTACAGTTACCACACTCAGGCAGTGGACCCTGAATTGGCGTCAGCAACCTGCTTGCAGCTGCAGGGAAAGAGAACGCCGCCATAATTTGTTTCCAGAAGTCCTTGGCTGCAGCCTTGGACCCGTTTGAATCTGGAGCGAATCCTAAGGTCAGGGAAAGCATCATTGGGTTCAAGCCGGTGATGCTGGATGTGAAGTCTCGCTGCCCCGGCGAATCCGAATCCAACATGCAGGCGCTGGGGTGCACTCGCCGGTCCAGATCAGGATGACAGGGGCTGAGAAACGGGGCGGGGAGACTAAGACAGATACTGAGAGTAAGGGTGGGGAAAAACTTTGGAAAGAGCAGGTGGAAGGGAGGTCGGGAGGAAGGGGGAGGCCGGAAGGGCGGTCTTTCGCTGCGTTCGACTTCATTGGTAACAGTCTTGCGGCCGGACTTTGGTCCAAGAAACGGGTGGGGGTCGTGGGCCCTCCTTTATGCCAGCGCAAAGCCATACACCACACTCGAGTGCCACCATGGAGGTCAATCTGGTGCACCATATCAACATATACGCCTATGATGCTGCGATGCCGCTGACAATCGTGGCTGGCTAAAGTGTTGTCTTCCGTTCTACAGCCTTTCTGTGAAGATGTGCACTGGCGAAGAGCCGCTGCCAGCTGCCGAGGGGCAACCATATGTCTTTGATGGTGCAACGCAGCCGGTGCTTCCACCAAAACTGCAAGAAGAGTCCATGCGCATGCTGGCGTCCCACGACAAAGACCCCTGTCGAGCAAAGCATATGTTGCAATGCTGCCGACATGTGTTTCCTCTCTTCCGGCATCATTGTGATGCGAACCCGAGGAAGCTGGAGACTACTTCCTGCCAAGCGGATATGGCATCCCCTTCGGTAAGCAGAACCGCAGCAGCAAAGACATGCATTCCGTATGGTTTGTGTCTTAAAGCACGCATGCAGGCCGGCAGGCAAAGTGGAGCCTATTGTGACTGCTTTGGTCCAGCTTACATCTATGTTTGTCGTGGTTGTCCTACATAGCTGCTTTGCTTGTATGGTTCTTACTAATGGGAGTTTCTGCTCCTGGTGCAGCGCGTTCTTCGGATTGGGATCTGGGATCCGTACCGTCATTAAATATGAAGCCTTTGAGTGATCCGTCGCTCGTAGCAAATCTCGTAGTCACCACCCTGGCTACCCAGGGTACTTATGGAGCGGCACTTCTTGTTTCCGAAGTGCTGGAACTACGACGAAGAAGCTTGGCATCTCCAGCTGTGCCCCAGAACTTGATGACGTTGAGATGCGCTGATTCGCAAGTTTGGAATTTCAGGATGTCGCGGAGTCTAGCGGCATGGATCTGCAGCTATGCCTGACTGGTTTATGATGGTCACCTTGGGTACACACCTATAGGGGTGGCTTGAAGTGGCCACAGTGCCACCGAGGTATGTGACCTCTTCACCTTCCCTAAAGCCGGCGGCTTTGATAGGACAGCCTTGCTGGGCGCATGCGCATGACCAACTGCGAATTCCCGGGATAGTGAAGGGGGCGCATGGGTCAATTCTATAGCACACAGACAAGCGAAGGAGCCGTGAATTTCAACATGAACATCCTTCCGCAACAAGGGCCCATGGAGTGGGTCACCCGCATCTCCGCGGAGAAGCTTAAAGATCTTGTGTCTGGAGGCGGAAATGCGCCTCAACAGCAAGTGGGAAAGCAACGCGGAGAAGACCGATTAAGACTTGACGTGGTGACTCACGGAGATCATGAACCGTCTTCATGCCACGCTGGCCACTGCGGTGCGCCACAAAGATCACGAGACCGGGGGTTGCTCTTGCTGTCAGGATTGGCCAGAAATCCTGGCAGTGCACCAGCACACACATGACGTACCTTGCAGCAAAAGTTGGGCCATGACAGCATTCCCCACCCTCCAGAGACCAGCGAGCTGGGGCATTCAGGTAGCAAGCGGCAAGTTCTTCGAGATCCTGCTGCCCAGCTTGAACTGCCAGCTAGTGCTCTTCTATGAACTTCTATGTTTCGGATTCTACTCAGGAACGAGGACGGGTCCGTGGCTTTCCGATCGGCCAAGGAGAAGGCGGGTTATGGCTTGGAGGCGCTCGAGTTGTGCGTAGTTGTTGCGTGGAGGCGCCTCCGAGGCAAAGGCTCCCTGAGTAGACTTATCGACTTGGCTTCGAGGAGCAATCCTTCGCCAACTTGCCGGAGAAGGGTTGGCCGCGTTTGCGGGTCCAGGCAGGACAGCAGTTTCTCCAGCATTGCTTGCCACTCACTCAAACTTGGGGACCGTCTGCGGCCAGCTCCATTTCTGATTCTGAGGTTTGCCATCTCTTGTCTGAGGTTCGACTCTAATCACCTTCAGAATCCTGTGGTTTACGGCCTGGGCTGGGGGGAAGAGATGTGCGCTCCGCTCCTTGTGATTGGTGGCGTCCGAAACTTGGTTGAGATTTCGCTGATCCTTGGGCGGTGAAAGTCAGAGCCACAATGCCCTAGCCGTAGACTCTAGACTCTAGACAGATGATGGCCGTGACGTCGCCCAGCCGGCATCTTGCAGTAGACCTGCCGCTAGAGCAGATTCTGGCTCAACAAGGGCTTGATGTTTTGTAGGCGCCCGACGAGTAGATCTGCTACACGCCATTTGGCAGTGCAAGCAACAACTGATTAAGCGACTCACCCTTGGGCACTTTTCCAATGTCGCTGACAGTCTTATGCTTTTTCCTGGCTCCGATTGCAACATCCAGTGCTGCATGCGAGGAGCTCATGGAATGATTAGTGGATTGCCTGCATGTCAAAATGTCCCCAGTAGTGAACTTCTCACTTGAGTGCAGGAGGGCAGGATCTTCGTGGTGGGCTCTGGGATTGCCGGTCTGGTTGCTGCGAGCTCCCTCAGGAAATTTGGAGCATTGGCTGAACTTGGTGCTCGGCTTTGTAGACACATCGTAGCTGCGCAGCTTACTGAGCCGAGACCTGCAAGGTTGCAACGTCACTGTGCTGGAGGCGCTCGACCGGCTTGGCGGTCGAACCCACACCTTGCACCAGGGCGTGTTCGCTGGCAGAGAGGAGGGCGCACACTGGGTTCATGGTGGGATCGACAATGTGCCGGTATCAACTTTGTTGGACATGCACAAGGTTGGACAGGTGCGTGTCGGAGGAGATGATGACTACGAAGGGTCGCGAAGCCGATTGTTGATGTTATCATCTTCGAACGTGCCTCTCACTGCAACGGAGCGAGACCTGTCTTTCGATCTCTTCGAATCTGCCCGGGCTGCTAGCGAAGCTTTTGCCGGAGAAGCTTGGCAGAAGACACAGCCTAGTCAGGCCGCAAGCAGCTGCGATGTAAAGTGAATTGCATTTCTCTCCCTCCTCCTATCCTATGCCAAAGCAAGTGAGGGAAGCAAAGGAGAAGGCAACAGAGAGACTGCATGAATGCTGGGTGTGGCCTGCAATCTCTACACAAACCCAACTGGTCTCGCAGGGTTTTCCAGCCGTAGATTCGGGAGTCACCAGTGAAGTGTGGTCCTGCCCATGCGGAGCCCGACCGGTGTATGGCTGATACCGGCTCTAGGCTGATAGGTTTGAGGGAGCTTTGTCGCTGCCCCAGGAAAAGCTCGGGGAGAAAGACTTGGGCACTTCGGTGGCGGATGTGTGGCATCGTGCACTGGAAGTGAACTTCTCCTCTTATGGCCGAGCTCTGTTGGACTGGCATCAGAAGGTGTCTTACGAACAGGACTGCGGCAAACCTGGGAGAGAAGCCTGCACATGATCTGCATTTAACGGATGTCGCCCATGGTTAGGCATTCTGGACCCCGTCAAGCTGGCACATCGCAGCACCTGCATGTAGGAATTGACCTGGAGCATGCTGACGTCGGTGCAACTGCCGAAACGCACTGTCGTGGTCCTAAAGTCCGAAAGTTGAGGATGTAAAGACGTTTTGGAGGGGGTCAGGTTCGAGCTCATTCACATCGCGTGCAACGGGTCGGGGGCCTTTGCCTTTCCTTCCAAAGTTGTTGGAGCCGACTTGCGCACTATAAACTCGTAGGCGAGGTTGTCAAACCACGACTACTGCAATTTCATTTCTGCACGTTTGGTTTTCTAATTGTTTGCGTGGACTCGTAATCTTTCTTTGCGTCTCTTTGTGTCTGCTTGCCTCATGATGCAGTTGCCCGAGTTTCCTTGCATAGGCACCAGCAGGGTCTCGAATCCAGTCCAGCCTCGTTGCCGTTCTTGTTGGAACATGGCTCCTTGCACGTCCACTTCTTAATATACGATCTCGGAGGTGTTTGGATGGCCGTTGTCGTGGGTCCGTTGTGGGGGGGGGGCACAGCAGCCCAGCTCGCCCAGCGGAGCGGAGTGGGGAGATGGATTGTAACCGGTGGAGTTGCATGGGGGCGGCTTGCGATTCTTCCTTTCGGCGCGGCCTTGCATCCTGGCGTGGCCAGCTTCTGGTCAGGTGGATGCTCCTTCGGGCCCCAGATGGTGACTGCGGAAATTGATTGCTGTTGACGGAACAACGCCAGAACGAAACCAAAGTTCATTCGAGATGCAAACCTGCCGTGGAAGTTGGTTCGAGCTGTCTGCCACATCTCTGATTGGCCCTAGATAAAGTCTTCTACCCCCTTCTGCTAGCAGCTTTCGCGTTTGCAACTGTCAACCACGCCATGGCAGGACTCAGGTGCCTCCGTTCAAGAGCTCAGTGACCGGAAGCATTAGTTGTCCTGCACGTTATGAACATGGGACAGGTGCGCTAAAGCATCACAAGGGCCTTGCACCACAGCGTGCGTTGATGCAAGGTGCTCTGGCTGAATACGTAGAGGATTATTCGGACTTCTACTCCAATCGGTCCGACGGTTGGGAGCTGCATGGGGACGGCTTTGTGCAAGGCCCCCGTTGCTTGCTGTGTCGTCGTACTATGCCGAGGCCATTGATAAAGGCACATGTCGACAGACGGTGTTCGTTGCTACAGGTGGCTATTCTGCATTGGTTCACCGTTTAGCTGCTGGGTTGGAGGTGCGCTTGCAATCTCCGGTGTCGCGCATCTCGTTTAATCAAGCTCGCAGAAGTGACGGAATCGGAGCATGGTAACAGGACTTGCGGGCTGATTAGTGATTAGGACTTGTGCTGAGCTGAAGGAATTGAGTATTCGAACGACAGTGTGGCCATTACATTCAACGGGCAGACGCTTCGAGGCTGGTCCGATGAACCGCAGCGGGGCACTTGTCCGTTTTGGTCGGTCGTGGGTGTCGCCCAAGGCACGGCAGTCATACTCACGGCCTCAGTCGGAGCATTGCAGGCTGAGACCTATCTGTACGCTAGCAGCTGTATGCGAAGAAGCATTTCTCTGCGGGAGTTGGAGTTTCATGAGCACAATCGTGTCTAAGGAGAACATTGCCTTCGAACCTGCGCTGCCCAGCTGGAAGCACGCTGCCCTGAAACGCCTGGGCATGGGTAATGTTGCAAAAGTGCCGCTTGGCACACGATAACTCGTATGCAGGTTCGGCAAGCCTGGGAGAACCCAGGAGAACTGAACTGGTAAGTGTGTAAGGAATGACGGGCAAGTCGCTGCTGGTCACGTAGGGAAAGAGGAAGGACAAAGTTGACAACTACTTTGGGCATGCATGCAACCACTTGAGATGCTGGCTCTGAATCAAAGGTACGATGGCTACCCAACAAACTCTGTTGTAGAGTTGTGATTTTTTCCTGTTCCACATGGTTCCGCATGATGCAACACGAAAAGACGTTTTTCCAACTTGTCCCAGGAAGGCGGCAGGATTGACAGCTTTTTTGAGCCCAGGAGCATGCTAGCTTGGAAAGACTTCGTTGGGTGCGAAGCGTAGTCACTGCAGGGAGTGTGAGGCGGCGCCCTGAGGCTGGTGAAACTATCAAAGGCTGTACCCATACTTCGTGGCGTCTACTCCTTGGGGCGGCTGGCTGAAGGAGCGGGAAAGCATCGGCAGCTCCTCTCCTACTGTATCTGCGACGAAATGGAGGGCTCCAGGTCACCGATCTTGGATGCTTGGTTAAGTTTAAACTTGTAACTGGGATGCAGGGCTGCTGCCTCGCTTTGCGGCCTTCTGTTGCCTTGCACAGGAATGCTTCCTAGGCGGCCAGCAGGCCATCACCGCGGAGATGATGGATGCCAAGGAGTTGAATCGAAGCTTGGCAGTGAAGCAGGCTGTCTCCCAGCAAAGCGTGCGCGACCGCAAGCTCTCTGACAACCAGGTCAAGTGACTTCCGAGCTTGATGCCGCTCTTGGGGCTTCCGTAGAGGAGGTCATGATTACCAAATGGTCCAGCAACCCTTACATCAAGGGTGCGTGGAGCTATGCTCGAGTGAACTCGTCCGTGGAGGACCGACATGTGGGGTTCTTGGACCTCTGTATAGCCCTGACGAGGCGAATGAACCTCCATCTACATGTGGTGACGATTTTGAAAGGTACTGCTCAACCGTAGCCAAAGATCGCTGAAGCAGGCACAGCAACTGCTTCAGTAGAATCGCCCTCGTGCTGCCACGCAGCTGCAATCGCCAAAGAAGGCTGGGTTCGAGACTTGCTGAACAGAAAAGTTCTCCAAGAGTGTCCTTTGTCAGGACTTCGATGCTTTGGCACGTAGCATCGGCAAGCTTCACTTCGCTGGAGAGGGTACTTGCAGACTCCTCTACGGCTGCTCGGTGGCCGTTGAGAACATGGCTGTCTAAGCAGCAGTGAGCGCTCTTTGCTGGACGGGCTCCATGGTGTTTGGATGTTTTGCATCAGGAAATGTGCATGCCGCAGTGGTGAGTGGAGCTCGCGCAGCTCATCAGCTTCTGAAGCTGGAAAGAGATGCAGAAGAAAGCTGGCCACTCTTCAGACCGGAGCCTTAGCTGTTCGATCCAGGGTCAGAATTCCGGTTGCTGAAGGGATTGGTGCGCAGAAACTTTCGATCTCTGCCGAAGCTGTTTTTCTGACAAACAGCTTTCAGCTGCTGTCCCAAAAGTATGCCAGTATGGATGCTTTTTTAGGGTAGGGTTCTGCGCTTAACTTGGACACTCGCCCCGAGTTTCCTGCCAAGCCTAGAGCCACCTTCTCATCCGTGCTCTACAGGAGGTTACCTGCGGATCCTCCAATTCCAGCCTTGCCATGTCCAGTTTTCGTTGTCCTTCGACTGTCACCGAAGCGGTCTAATACTTCACCTTGACGACCGCGACCACCAGGAGACTCCCAGGAAGCCACGAGGAACCACCGTCGGGAGACCAAGACCATAGGAGACCACCCAGACAGGAGCGTGCTAGGAGACAGCCAGACGCTTTCCCCCAACAACTGGCGGGATTCAGGAGCGCAGTGCTTTTGCTTTCCCGGGCACAGCCAAGATCCCTTCCGCCAACACCTGGCGGATTTAGGAGCATGGCACCCATGCCTCTGGCGGGATTCAGGAAGGGATTCACAGTCTTCGAGGACGACAGGTGCTCCAAGTGTTAGAATTTGATGACTGCCGCATGGATCCTGTGTAGATTATAGGTCGTGTGTTCAAACTATGCACCGCAGCACGGCACGTACAGTCACCCGTTCTCTGAACCCCATGCTTGGGAATTAAGGTACTTCAAAGGTCTAGAGAGCTTGTGGAATTCCTTTGACCTTGTTTTTTTGGTGAGGACATTCTTCAGCTATGCACAACTTCCGGGGCAAGGCCGCCATAACATGCCTTCGCGGCTGGCATTAATCAAGGATGTACCTTGTGTAGAAGTGCACGGCACAGGCAGCGAGCCGTGCCGAAGAGTGTGCACAGACTTCCACAGCGTTCACCACGTCCGCCGGGCCCCGGGCTGTTCCTTGGCAGCGCCCGGAACATTTTCGTGCGTGGCAGTAGTACAACAGACTTTTCAACAGTTGGAGATCGGTTGGCTGGGGCTCGGTTTTAAGGTTTGGATGGGACCATGTTAGAGGAGTGGATTTTGCTGGCCGGGGTTCGAGAGTCAGGCTAGTGTGATTGCGGGCCGTGGCAACGATCGCCAGCGAAGTCCCTTGCTGCGACAACCTCCGACGAGAAAGGCAACGACAAGTCTGTCGAGGAGCTGGCAGCCATCGGGTAGCAGGGAAAGATCTGATCCGGGGCTCTGGTGGCCGAATTCTGCCCAGTTGCGGCTCTGCGAATCCGCGTGCTGACGACTATGTAGCTCAGATGGCTGGGTTGTTTACCGCGCGGATTTACTGAGCTAGCCCGACCGAGCAGAAAAGTGCTCGCCACAAGACTCCATGCTGGCACACTCTCTTCGAAGCTATTGCAGCGGGCCATGGGGGTGCCTTCCCGGCCCTCCAGGGTACTTCGAACCATGCAGTGGCTGTCATGGGCAGCGGAGCCAGAGCTAAGGACCAATGCCAACCATTCTGAGCTCCTCGTCTGTCGGAATGCACCAACAGACTTAGGAAGTGGCGACCCCTTGCCATGTAAGGTTCGATAGATGGTTATGCTTCCCGCTTCACAGCGGCATGGCTGACTATTGGTGGTTGAAATGGCTAGGAGCCCTTGCTGCCCCGCTGCCCTCACGCTCACTGCAGGGCCTGTGGGAAGATGTTGTGCGTGACATCAAACGGCTGCTTTCTGAACTTCGATCTGACCGGGGAGGGGCCTCCTGACGCCGCCTTTGACACACGCAGCAATGTGAGAAAAGACTCCACGAAAGGGTGTAGGAGTGTAGGGCCTGAAACATTTGTTGAAACCCACCTCACTTCAGCTTCGTGCGAGCAGCCAATCGGGAAGCGCCCTGCCAAGGCAAAGCCTTGGAGCGAACTCTTTGTGCGCCCTGCTGGTTTTGAGCCCAAACCACGACTTGCGGCTTGAGCTTTCGGAAAACGATGCACCCCCTCCAAGCACCAGGAACTCCAAAAACGGGTGGAGTGGAAAGCCCCGGATCCAAACGTAGTATGCCATTTTTGGATGGAAAGCGTAGGGCATGTTGTCTTGCTTCGCCAACATGGCCGGGAGACGTTCATGTGGTATGTAAGGTCAACATGTCATGAGAACATGCAACCCTTCTTGCATGCTGTTGCTGGTCCGTATGGATTCTGTGGAGTTTGATCGGAACGTGGCCAGTCTGATCGTGTGTCTTTTTGCCGTCACGTCGTGTTCACCTGGCTAGCCTTTGGTGCCGGAGCTGCACCGACAGCCCGCTTGTTAGGTGAAGTTTCGAGTGACGGACGATTTTATGGTTCAAGGCTGCGGGTGAGTCGCATGCCTGACGCCCGACATGCAGTGACGAGCGTGCTGCAGAAATCTATTTACAGTGGAAGCTAAAAATGGCAGTGAAACGGTGCAATGGATGTCCGACCGGGCTTCAGCCTGCGACGCTTTTCAGTGTAGCTGGGTGCCGTTTGGGCACTGTGTTGATTCTATAGTACGTTGTGCAAAGAGGCCAAAACACTAAAGCAATGTAAATAACGGTGTGCTGCTGAGTGGTTTCATCATTCTTGTTTTCCGTCCATGTTGTTTTCTTTTTTTCGTGTCTTTCTGTTGTTTTCTTCTTCTTCCTGAATTGGAATAAGTTTGTGTATCGATGTTTTAGTCTTTTGTGAATGTATGTATTCCTATCCTTCTGTCTGTGTCGTCGGGTTCTTTAGTTGTTCTGTATGTCGTTGTTTCTGTTTCTTTTGTCATTTCTTTCTTTCTGTCGTTCTTTCTTTGTGTCTTGTGGGGATATGTAGTAACGCCAGAACGCTGGTATTTATGGCGTGGTTGCCGCTTTCGAGGGCGGTGATGCATGGCTGATGACGGTGATGCATGATGCTGGTGGCGATGATGATAATGACACAGACATGCAGTTGACGATGTGGCGATCATGTTGATGGTAGCCAAGTGGACATCATCAACTCACCCGAATTCACCTGCTCATGCCAGCCTGGCATCGTGCTCGCCAACCTCGGAGCAGCGTGTGGAGCTTATATACCCGGAATTCTCGAGCAAGGTTAAGTCTGCATCCACATTGCATGGCTGGCTGCTGGTGCTCTTGGGCTCAAGAGAGGGTGTGGCTTGGGTTGCTAACAGGATTAGTTACAGCATTATTGACCCACTGAAAACAGCCGGTTCGCATCGTTTCGCCGAGAAGCAGCCACACTCACATAAAGCACGCATGGCATCTGATGGTGTCTCCAGCGTTGGAGATTGGCACCTTGCAGCCTTCCCGGTCCAAAGCTCTGGCATCTTTGCCTGCACCAAAGCCTGGGTCTTGCAAATTTGACTGAGCCGGTCATCCGAGCCCTTGGTTATGCCAATTCCTTTCGACTCTAGACTCTAGACACAGCCGCAGATGTTGTGTGGAGTGTCGTTCTGCTGCGTCCCAGGCCGGTGGGCTGCGACCCGCGCTACTGGTAGCAGTGGCAGTCATGTACTGAGATGTTCTTGAGAGACCCAAAAGTGTTGTCCGAAATGAAATGTGACGTGAAGAAGCGATCAGGTCGGTGGCCTTACCTGGACAGGATCGGTCGGCAAATGCTGGGCTATGGATTCAACGATTCTACCCAACAATTTAAAACTGTTGCTCTTCCGAGCAGTGGAGGGCTTCAAGGCAAGGTTGTGACGGTTGCAAGGGTGTTGGCTGCGGCAGGCAAGCCGTGGCTACGAAGCGGAAGCAGCGGAAGACCACACGCACTCTCGCCCCGGCTGAGGCGACCGCCGCGTTCCAGGTAAGTTAGCACGGGGGTGCAGGTGTCTGAGTTCACTGCTGCAGCCAGATTGAAGTGTGCGCAGCTCATTAGAGCAGGGAGACGCCATGTCCGAATCTACGAAGCTGAGGAGAGTATGCCCGAACCTTGTTCCTTGAGCCACGTCTGGTTGTGGCCAAAGCTTGGCATGTGCTTTCGAGCAAGAGTTGCACATGTGAATAATCCTCTGCCTTGCTCGTTCGACCTGCGGCAAGCAAGCCCTGACGATGACAGAGGCACGACGACTTTGCCCTTGACACGGAAGGTCCTGCATTTTGCGTTAATGGGCACCGCCAGCACAAAGAAAGATTACTGAGTACTGTCAAGCTTCTATGGGGCGAGTGTGAAGACAAGACGTGAAATCAGCATCCGGGCAGATGCCTCGCACCCAACAGGCCCTTTCTTTTGCAGCAAGTCCATGTGGCCTTGGCCTTGTCCGGGCAAAAGCCCAACCTGGCTACTACTAACAGTCGTGCTTGCCAAGTCCGCATCCTGAGCTTCCAGCTTCGCTTGGTTTAGATCTGCATGTTTCTTGTTGAAGTTTTCTGGCTACGGCCGTCAGCTCGCCTGTGAGATAATTCGGATAGATGTCCTCCAATCGTTGGGCCAACCTTGGCCGTGTTTGGTAGGCTCCAATGTCCGGAGCTACAAGACATTCGGACATGCTGTGAAGGACGAAGTGAACAGGCCGTTATCCTTAAAATGTGATGCAGGCAAAGACAAGGCGACTACAGACGACATTCAGATGTTTAGAGTTGAGGAGGAGAGGGTGTTCCCACTTGTAACAACGATGAAGTTATGGCCAAACGGCAAACACGAAGCATCTGGAAGGCCTACATCGACGTCTGCGCGAACGGCGCAGGCGCTGATGCACTTGTACCAGTGGTTCATGTTCAGAACAGGTCAGCACATGACAAACGGTGAAATGCGCCCCAGGCAAATTCTCCTGTGCCTGGGGGCCGACGCACAGCGAGAGTGGTGGGCCAACGCGGTCGCACAGAGAACAGGACGCTTTTTGCTTGTCATCTCCACCTCTTAGGGGAATCAGCAGCGAAACTGAAACCTGGCCGCGGCTCAAGGTTTTCCTAGCTTGTGAAGATCCGAATCCGAGACCCTGTGGCCATGGGGTAATTAATGGTGCACGCTCTCGGCCGTTTCGTGCTCTTGAGCTGTGCATGTCTTTTGGCCCTCCGGCTAGATGGACCAGACGGAGAAGCTGGTGCGAGAAAGCCGCGAACGCCCACACGGCCGGTATGATCAGTACTTGCTGGCAAAGAACATGGCGATGGAAGCCTCGAGAAGTCCGATGGGGGTCCTGGGGGCTTTATGAGGCAGTGGATCCTAAAGCTTACTAAGCCTCGCCACGCCACAGATAAGACGAAGCTCGGGCAAGTTATCGCAGACAGCGGCGCTTTCAGCGAGTGCAGGGACAATCCGACGGCCGACCTCGCTGATAACCTTTGGGCTATTGCCAGCATGTCCTTTGTACTAGGCACGCGGAATTCGGGTCAGAGCAGTGTTGTGGCTTTGGTCCACAAGAGAGACGACGGTACTCGTCCGCTGAGGGATTCCGTGCTCGCTGGGTATGAGATTCCCAGAGCTTTGGGATGGCGACCTGGGGTCGGGCTGGGGCCCCCAAATCATCTCGAGACCAGTCCGTTTCTGGGCCGACGCCTGTCTTCTGGTTTGACTTGGAGATGTGTTAACTGTGACACGAACACTGGCTGCGCGCTTGACCGAGCTTTCACGATAATTTTGTCGGGGGCTGCGACAGTCCTGACAGCACTGTACCGGGCGGTCCATTTTGGAAACGAGCAGTTGGTGCGGCGTCTATACTAGACAAGGGCGCAGACCCCAACTTGAAGGACGAGAATGGACGGACACCACTGTCTTATGCATCGTCACACGGTCACGTGGAGATGGTACGGCTGCTGCTGGCCCGTGAGGCTGAACCCAACGTTCAGGCCCATGGTAAAGTCGACGTTTCGCAACTGCGTCTGCGCCACGGCAGGGCTGCAGTTGCAGAGAGGGCCGAGTGGGCCGGTGGCCGTAGAAAAGCGCCACTGCCCAAATAGTTTGGTTTCTAATTGAGTTTGGAAGACTTGTGTAAGCTACGCTAGCCCAGTGCTGGCCCCGAGTCCTCGCCTGGTACTGCCGAGTTGCGAGGGGCATAAAAGCAGTGAGTTTGCAAGCCTGGCCTAGCAATGATCATGTCGAAGTGCATCTTGAAGCTTCGAGGAACGCTGCTCAAGCATTGCCGCGGCTCCTACGTGGCTCAGTGGTTGCTCGTCCGCTCTGGGAGGGAAGATTGGCAGAGAGTCCTTGGAAACGTGGTGCTGTGAACGGGGGCGCGTGGCTTACCAGGCAAGCCACCTCCTGGGCAGGGTGCGCGAAGTGCAGAACCGAAGAGCAATCGTGCAGCTCTACTGGCAATCTCCACAAGGTACAGAAGCCTTCGATCGCAAAGCATTCTGTCAAGCATTACATTTCTGGAAGGATTGACGCAGCTTTCGCCCATCCAAGGGTTCATCGACCTGCAGGCACCCATGTCAATGTCGCAAACACGCGTCAAAAGGCGGAGAGGAGTCACTCTTTTCTGAGTACTGTCAGGCTGGTGTTGCAGAGACCGGCGGCAATGACGAGGTATCCATCACATGTGCAGACCGCCGGGAAGACAGATCTAATGTGAATTTCGGTGCATCGGATGCGTGCGATTACTGCATTGTCCGTTGTGGCTGAGTAGGTGTCTTCAGGGCTTGGAGGAAGCAACTCTTTCGTTCAATTGAGAAACCATTGGTTTGACTTGTCGGGTCGCTCTCCAACACTCCGTCACCCAGCCATAGCAGACAGGATTAGATTGTCATTTTGTGCGTGAGTTCTTCGCAGGCAGGCGGATTGCGGAGGCCTGCACTTCTGTTTGTGTGCCTTTTGGCCGCGATGGATTTTGGCACAGCTGTATGTTGCAGGACGTTGAGGGTGGGTCAGGACGTCAGCGTGCACGTAAGCCCGCTTGCAGCATTCCGGCAGCGCTTAAGCCGCTGAGCTCATGTCCTCCAGGGGACATGTGGTGCATGTGAGGCTCACATGAGAGCAGAGGAGCTGGAGGAGCTTCCCTTGAAGCTTTCAGAGGCAAGATCGCCAGGCCAGGGCGGCCAGGGCGGCCAGGGCTTCGAGCGGCGGCAGTCTCCGTTCCAAGCCCTTGGCAGGCTTGGGCCGCGCCTTTCAGCCCGGACCTCGATTTTCTTCGACTCGCAAACCGTCAGACAGCCATCACAAGGCGGGCGCTTGGGAAGGCGGCGGCGTCCCGAAAGTGTAGCGCATCCCAGTGGCTTCCGAAGAAGGAGCGCCATAGCTCCGTGCCATTCGGCTGAAACCTTCAACTGGTTCGATAGATTCCAAACCGGCGTAACTAGAGTCCCAAGTCAGAACCTAGGTATTGGGGAACTGCCCAAGCTCTCCCATTCCTTCTGGCTGGACGTGTAGCGACTGTGATTGCACTTCATGGACAGACTGGTCGGGCAAGAGTAAACTCCTGCGAAGATTTGAAGCTTCGGCGTTGTCCTTATCCGAGGGAAGACACCTTCGAGGAAAGGTGCAAGAGCTGCGCGGGAGAAGCGCAGTTGTGCAGATTTTCTGGGAGATATCTCCTGTTCCAGGCCTTCCGAGTTATTGCGAAGCAGAGGCTAGCGAGCTGAACCTTGGGCAGGTCTTGAAGAGCCCCAACTTGGACCGGTGAAAGGAAAAGTCTGGCTGAAGGCCGTGAGCAGCAACAATTGGCGGCAGTTCTCGGCCGAGATTTTCCTCCTAAGTTGCCGAAGGATCTTATGGCTACGTATGGCATAAGCCACCACTACCGACCACGGCCGAAGTCGCTCGCCAGTCTCAGCGCTGGCAGGAGCATAAGCACAGAGTCGGAGCAGTTTTCAAGTACAGCAAAGCTAAGGTGTGGCGATTTCCTGCATGAGGGTCAGTTGGTTTCTGTCGAAGTCGCCGACGTGCCTTCTGCTCCTTGTCAAACAATCAGGCGGTGCAGGCCCGGCAGCAGAGCTTTTCCTCCCTGCTTGCATTAAGGTTATTACATGCATGTTTCCTGTACCAGGGCTTAGCACGCACCATGCATGTGCAACTGCCCCTTTGTTTATAGTTGTTTCGGTGTCGGATGGGCTGGCTCCGAGGTTGCACCTACTCAAGATGAAAATCAAGTTGGCCCGAGCCGAATTGCCTCTAGC